GTCCAGCAAGGACCCCAGAGAGTGGCCGCGAGGCTGGGCCAGAGCCCACAGGGTGAGAAGAGCCAGAAGTCTGCTTCACAGGAACCTCATTCAGAGTCTGGGCCAAACCCATCCCTGCTACAGACACACTCTTGTGGCTGATACTTTGTGTCCGGTGAATTTTCCTGGAGTGGAAGTGTGAGCTTCTCCTGTGTTTCTTTGAAGGGCTTTTTCTCAGGGTTGTCCCCAGTCATTTGCTTTCGAGGGTCCCCCCAAAGCTCTTCCAAATGACAACAACATATTAAGCCCTGCTCTCCTCCTAATGGGTGGCCCTCAAAAGCCCCCTCTTTGCTTCCTCCCCGGGGCTAAGAACGGGGCTCCTTGCGCAGGGTTCAGGCAGAAGGGGAAGAGGAGCCAGGAAAAGACAGAGGAGGAGGGGCCGCGAGCTCAGGGCGCCTCGGGGTTCCTGAAACGGGGCTGTCCACGTCACAGCAGGCGGCAGATCTCTGGGCCGTGGTCTCCAGCTCTCTCTGTAGCTCTGGGGTCTGCTGGGACAGCGAGGAGTTAACAGAAGTCCTGCCTGGCTTTCAAAGGCGGTGCTTGGAGGAGACCCCATCTAAATGACTTCAAAATGGGAGCTCTGGATGTACTTAAGCCTTTGTTTCCAAATTATTTCCTTGTGTGCGTGTGTGTGTGTGTGTGTGTGTGTGTGTCTTTCTTAAAAAAAGATTTCCAGACGTGGAAAATGAAAAAGGTTTTGAGTAGACTTCATGAAAACTAAATGCACAGCATTGCAAGACAGCTTGGGGAAGCCTTCGGGATGTGACCGAAGCGAAGGTCAAGGCGGACGGCTGCATTCAGCCCGCTTGGTAAGAGAGGTGTCTTCTTGAGTTTCAGGGCGCCTCGAATCCTTTTGAAAAGGAGACAGATTAACAAAAAGAACAATTCCTAGTGCTAAGCAGGAAGAATACAGATGTATTGAACTTCTGTTATTAAATCTGTTGCCTTTAGGACCGAGCCTGTGGCACGAAGCGGCACCCCAGCCCACCCCAGGGTCTCAAGCAGCCCATTTCCCCCCCATATTTGAAAGAGCAGCAGTGAACAAACGGATTCTGTTGACACTGAATCTGCGGTTTGTCACTATCAAAGAAGTCCATGGGGGGGTTCCCCGAGCGGGGCCAAGTCTGCCACAGCCGCCGAGGGCTCCATAGACGCCCCCACGGGCCCCGGAAACACAGACCTTTGTCAGGGCCCTGGGCGGGGCTCCGGCTCTGTGTGACTGGGTAGCCTTGGCCAAAGAACTTCCTCTCACCTGGTTTTAGCTTCCCAGCTGCGAAGGGGGGCGGGGCAGGCAGCCGTTGGGTTGTTGGCATGAAATCCCACCCAGCAGAGAGGAGCCCAGCAAATATTCCTCGTGTGTCGCCTCTGTTTCCGGGGGGGGGAGGGGCAGCATTGAGGGAGCGTAAACCGGGCGGGGGGGGGGCGGTGACTGCCTCCTTCCCCTAATTTAAAGGAGCAAGCCAGGCGACCACTTGGGATGGTGATGTTGACATCTTTTAATAATGTAAGTCAGCAGTGCCCAACCGTTTTGGCACCGGGGCCTCGTTTTGAGGGAGACGGGGTGCGGGGGCTGCAGGCAGTGGAGCTCAGGCGAGCGCAGCTGGCTGGCCCGCCCTGGGCGGGTGGGGGCAGAGACAGGAGGTGGCGCTCCAGGGAGCTTTTGGTGGCCCTGTTCCTAACCGGCCGCTGAGCGGTGCCGGTCCGGGGACCGGGGTTGGGGACCCCTGATCTAAAGGAGAGCATTTCTCCGAGTTACCAGGATCTTCAGTTCTAAAAATTAGTCTCCATGATGAGGTAAACGATAGACTAGATTTAACTGCAAACAAGAACGTGAACAAATAGTTCACGTGTGGGCTGCGAGTGGTCCCGCCCCACAGCCGGCGCCAGGGTGGGATGGGGGAAAGGTATGGTGGAGCCGACGGCGGTTCCCCCGCCCCCGCCCCCCGAGCCCGGTCACGTGAGCTCCTCGGTCACCGGCAGAGCCTGGACAGCGAATGAGTCAAAAGCGTCTCTCCGGTCCTTCCTTTTCAGAGCTGGAAGGCCTTCTCCCCACCCCTCTCTCCAATATCTGTGTAGATTTTGGAAAAAACCACTCCTGTGCATTGTATAGTTATTCCGTTCCTTTGTGACCCAATGGGAGGCACTTCGCTTAGGGAGTCGCTCCTTAAAGGCCAACTTCTCAGAAATAAAAATCTTTACCTATAATGTTCAACCAACTTCAGGTTCATTTCCCTTAGAAAACAGTTGCAGGAAGTGATGCCTTGGCACGACGTGGCCGATTTCACCTGAGCACGCTGCAGGTTTTCTTGCGCTGTGGCACCGACCGCAGAATTATTTTGGAACGCTGCTTAAAGTCCTGCATCTTGGCGTGGATGGACATTCACGCCAGCTGCACTGGACCCCATGGGAGACTTGCACCGAAGCGTTCGCTGAAGCGGCGGCGTTTACATAGGATGGGGAGCTAGAATCACAGGCGAACCCCAGGAAACAGCAGCCGCACGTACAGTTTTGCGTGCATTTGAGGGAGGCTGCCAGATATGGATTCCATGATAAAAAATGTTCTTGGCCGGCCCTGGCCGGTGTGACTCTGTTGGCTGCAGTGTTGGCCCGTAGCTGAAAGGTTGCTGGTTTGATTTCCAGGGAGGGCACATTCCTAGGTTGCGGGTTCAATCCCTGGTCGAGCACGTATGATCCTGGCTTTGGGTGCATATGGGAGCCAACTGGTTGACGTTTCTCTCTCCCTTACTCTCTTTTTAGAAACCATGAAAAAATGTCCTCAGGTGAGGACAAAAAAATATACTTGATCAACGATAATATTATAGGTTGTTTTGGAAAGGACAAGCTATAGTTCTAGAAAAGATCTAGTAAAATTTAGATCACGTGGACAGGCAATTTTCCCATTTTTTAGTAAGATGCTTTTTGCTAATAAAAATTCCAAAATTTAGTTTTAAAAGAAAGAATTAGGAAGCGCCTGTGCACCTTGTCCTCCCACCTGCGCTGAGGTGCGTGTCCTCAGCTATTGGGAGACAGACAGGTGTCACAGACATTGTACTTGCTTGCCTTTTTTTCCAAAAAAACCCTACCCAAACCCAAAACAATAAATAAATCCCCAGGAAGAGGTCAAGCAGAGTGGGGGGAAGGAAGGTATGAGAGGATAGAAAGGTCTGGAACCTCCTCCTTGTTTTGCTGGACCATTTCATGGGATGAGGGTTCCCTGGAACACACTTCGAGAAATGCCGGCAATGCCTACCCTGGAAGAAAATGGTGGTTAGAACTCACTTCCTATCCGTTCTGTGTTGGGCTTTGAACAAGCAGCCTGCTACCCAGCCTGCACAGGCCGCTGGTAAGAGGGGTGCTGTTGTTATTGCCCCCTGTTATGGATGAGGAGGCGGGGCCAGTGAAATGGCCCGCCCACGGTGGGCTGGGCTGGACCCAGGGGCCAGGCTGGCCGACTCCAAGCACACGCCTTTCCTCCTGCCCCTGGCTCCTTATTTCTTCCTAAAAACTCCAAATTCAGGTGGTCGAATTCGACTGACAAGTTGTCATAGAGTATAAAAATGTTTTTTTCTCTTATCGTCTTACAAACCTTCAGAGTCAGGGGCCCCTGGGAGGATCCAGGCGTCCCTTCAGAGAGGTGTGACGTAGGCCGATTGCTCTCTGAACCCCGATTTCTTCCTGATAAGCCCGGGGGTTGACAGGTGCCTAGAAAGACAATGGGAGGATACACGAGACACTTGGCAAAAAGCCACGCGCGGTGCGTTGTCAGTGCCAGGTACCGTTTGGTGTCATGATGTCAGAAAGAGAGGGTTGGTCACACCACAGGCGCAGGCCGATGTCCCTCCTCTCCCCTGGTGTGCCGCGCCCTCACCGGGGGTCCCCGGGCAGTCTGGGGAGACGTGAGGGGGGCCGTCGGGACACCAGGGCCAGCTCCTCATGTGTGGTGTTACTGCAAAGTGTGAGCGAAGGGCCCTGGTTCAGAAGTTACTCCGAGTTTCCTGACAGCGAGCGGTAAACCAAACACGGACCCTTCAACATGGGGGCTTCGGGGGGGTCCCAGGTCGTATACCTGTGACCCGGGAAAAAGTTGGGAGGAACCAGAGCCTTGGGCGAAGCCGGGGAGAAAAGCGGTGCAGCGTCGGATAGGGGGACATGAGCCTGGACAGAGGAGACCGGGCCCGCGTCCTGGAGGGGCCTTGCAGACGAGCCCCGGCTCCCGGGCTGACCTCGCCGACGGGGACCGGAGGGTGAAGAGGTGGCATGAAGGTCTGGTGCAGGTGGGGCTGTTTTCTGGCTTGGGGTGGGGACAGGATGAGTTGTTTGTGGGGACACAAGCGAGTGAGCCCCTCTGAGCACGCGTGGGGCGGGAAGTCTCGTCTGCAGCCACCAGCCGGTGCGTGGGTACGGGGACTGCGTGACCAGGCGGCCAGCCCTCGGGCCCGGCTCTCCGTCTCGTTGACTCAGGCGCCTGGGCGCGTCCGCTCTGAGACTGCAGGGGGCGCACAGCAGGTTTTTGTTGGAGGAAGTGCTGAATGTTCGTAGAGAATAAGGGGAAGGTTGGAAGGGGCGCGGGCCGCCATGGCTGCGTTTGCACGCACCGTGATCCGGGCCGAGCCCGCTCCCTCCCTGGCCTGGAGCTCTCGGGTGGGCTGCCCCCGGACGTGACGGCCGGGCCACGCTGGGTGTCACGGTCCCGCCACGGCCGTGCCCGCGGGTGCCGTTCCTCGGGGCTCTTCTCCCGGCTGCTGTTGCCTTGGCGGCACGCTGTCGCTGCCTGCGCCGGCGCGAGAGGAAGACAGGTGTCGATGCACAGTTCTCACCTGTGAATATGACCGCTCGATTCAAAGAGTCTCACTTATATGTTCAGTCAAAACGGTCTGTCATAGAAGGGGTGGCTCCTTCACCCCCTGGGCGGCCATCTCAGAGCCACACACGTGTCATTCTCTGCCTGTTTTCTTTTCCAGGTTCACACGTGGTGCTTAGACAAATCCAAAATGAGGAAGCATCGGCATTTGCCCCTGGTGGCCATCCTTTGCCTTTTGCTTTCAGGCCTTTCGTTGACTCACGCTCAACAGCAACGAGGTAAGGTCCAGAGATGTCTCTTAATGCTCCTTAGAGGGAACCGCGCTCTCCGCTTCCAGGTCTGAGGTGTCCCGCGGCCACCGGAGAGCTTGCAGCTGCGTTTGGGAGCCAGCTGAGCCGATCACTGCAGAGGGTCCGCCTGGTCCACCATGTTCTCAGGTGCTCGGTGCCCATGAGAGATGGCTCGCTTTCACTAGGACGTGGGTTTAATGTCTTGGAGTTGGTGCGCAGACGGTTGGTTTTTACACTGGGTGTGAGCAGAACTTTAGTACCATCTGAACAGCTTTCTGGCACCTATTGGTCTCTAAGCACTTAAAATCAGGAGAAGATATTATTTTCCTTGGAAATAAAACACAGTTCTGGACACAGAAACCTTTGTCATCTAGAATTGCCAAATCTTTCAGAAACTAGTTTCCCCAAACTATTTTAAAAAATGGATCCTAATGAACCCTGTTAAGAATCTGCTTGCAGAGTGTTAGAAAACCGAGAAATGCTTCATGCATGGTGAGTTCCAAGGGTGACTAGAGTGTCCTGTCCTTGGCCAAGAGAGCTGGGCCCCTGGCGGGGACCCTCCCACCCGGCCCGATAGTTGTTAGACGGCAGGCGGTGAGCGCCAGCTGGGGGAAGGGGGCCGCTGGTTGGGCACTGGGCCGGCGCGAGGTAAGTGGAGCCCGGGAGCCAGCCGCGGTCAGCCAGCTGGCCGCTGCTGCGGAACGGCCATCCCCGCCCCTCCGCCGCCCCAGCCTCCGGCTTCCACTGCTGAGCACCCACTGGATCCCTCTTTGCACCAGAGAAACTCTATCCAACACCGCTAACGGCTTTTCTGGCCCTGAAAAATATGTAGTAAGTTGTCAACGTACCTTTCTCCATGCTAAACAGTCTGAGAACCATGAGACTTTGCCTTTCTGGGCAGTAATGCGAGTCATCTTCACTTAAGGAAGCCTTCTTCGTTACATCTATTTTTCTTGAAATTACCCAAAGCCTTAGGTGAGTTAAGGTCAAGGAGCAGTCGCTTTCGCTGTTCCTTCTCGTCAGGGCCCTGGGTCCCGTCCGAAAACCACAGGGTGCACTTATAAAATGGTGCTTGGCCCCCTGCAGTAGGCTCTCCTTCTGGTCTGATCAGGTGGGTCTTGGGGTTCAAAGTTAAACGGCAGCGCGGGGGGTGTTCCCCCATTCCGGACCCTGCCCTTAACGGTGCGCAATCACGAGGATTGCGTGGGGACCTCGGGCCGCCGACCGGCGCCAGGAGCTCTGAGCCATGCGCCCCCGCCCCGCAGGTAAGCCGGCCCAGCTGCCCGTGTGGCCAGCGCGGTGCGCGCCCGGAGTTAGGCTAGGAGGGCTTAGCGCTGCTGGGACGCGACTGCCGGAACAGGAGGAAAATCTAAACCAATGTCTTTTTTTAAAGATGTCAAAAGTGGTGCCGCTGCCGATATAATATTTCTAGCGGATCCCTCTTGGAGCATTGGAAAGGACCGTTTCCAACTCGTCCGAGAGTTTCTGTGTGATGTTATAAAGTCTTTAGCGGTGGGAGAGAATGATTTCCGTTTTGCTCTGGCCCAGTTCGACGGCAACCCACATACCGAGTTCCTGTTAAACACGTACCGTTCCACACAAGAGGTCCTCTCCCACATTTCCAACATGTCTTACACTGGGGGAAGCAATCAGACCGGAAAAGGATTAGCACACGTAATGCAAAGCCACCTCACTGAGGCCGCTGGGAGCCGGGCCCGGGACGGAGTCCCTCAGGTTATCGTAGTGTTAACCGATGGACGCTCGGACCGCCGCCCCGTGCTGTCCTCCGCGGAGCTTAAGTCTGCTGACGTTAACGTCTTTGCGATTGGCGTCGAGGACGCGGACGAAGGAGCCTTAAGAGAAATAGCCAGCAAGCCGTTCCAAATGCATGTTTTCCACCTAGAGAATGCCACCTCACTTCATGACATAGTAGGCCACTTAGTGTCCTCTGTGCGCTCGTCCGTGGCTCCAGAAAGGCCTGGAGACACAGGGACCCTTAAAGACATCACAGGTAATGGCCACGCTATCACGCTGCTGCCCGCCTCGCGCTCCTTCGCAGATGAGCTTGGCGCCTGCTGGCCTGAGAGCGCCGCGCTGGCTGACCTGCGGCGGGGGGGCTGGGGAGAGATGGACGTTCACACGTTTAAAAACAAAGGTTTTCCTTCTCTCTAGCCTCCTTTTGAGAGGGAACAGTCACCCACATCCAAGAGAGTGTTTTTTTGAAACCATTACACTTGAACTCAAAAGAACACCACATCCCACAGAAGGCGCTTCTAGGGTCCTTAGGAAAGAAAGCCCCAGCGCGGCCATTCGTGGTCGCACTGGAGGGTCCTTCCTGGAAGGACGCGCGTGTCCGACAGCGCGGGGACGGGCGCCGAGAGCGCGCCCGCCTTGGTGTCCAGGGGAGAAACGGCGTGAGCTCCTTTCTCCTGCTCGATGGAGTTTATTTCAGAGACTGGGAGGAGTTAGGGTTGTAGGAAGCCTTAGGTGTGAAGCGCCCGGGTCTGCGGGGCAGGGAGGAGCCCAGACCCCGGTGCTGAATGCCGGCAAGGCCGACCCGGAAGGAGCCTGCCGAGGCCTGTGTGCAAAGCTAGTTCGCGCAGGGATTCTGAGCGACGCCCACGGTGAGGCGTCCTCGGCAGCGATGGGCGCGGGGAGGGGCCCCTTCTGCCCGGAAGCTCGTCCGGGGCGCCAGGTGCCAATGGCGAACGGAGGCTCTTAGGAGCCCGGGCCGGGAGCGAAGGTGGAATCGAGGGTCTCAGGGAGACAGACAGGCGCTCGTCTTCCGAGACGGAGGGCAGCGGGGAGGAAGGGAAGCCGGAGGCCCCGGGGTGAGGGGAGAGGACCCAGCGGGCCCGGGCAGGCAGAGCCTGAACCCACCCCCGGTGTTTCATTAGGTTGTTCATAACAACGGCTCCCCGACAGGCTCCCCGAGGCTTCGGCCTCGGTGGGGTGAGAGAGCTAAGGCCCGCCCCCCGATAGAGGGGGCGAGGGCAGGCTGGGTTACTTATGTTTCACACTGAAAAGCGTCCCCTCTTTCGAATGACATGCTTCTCTTCGGTGCGGGTGTCGATCCTGCCAGATCTCAGGAAGAGAGCGTGGCACCCCATACCACGCACTCCGGGCGACAAGGCCGTGACAAGAGGTCGGCTCTCCTGACCTCCGTGGGCTGCGTGTCCTCAGCATCAGTAATTCACTGAGCATCGCTTCTCTGAATGTAGGGAAAACAACTAATTCATGTCAAAAGTAATGCAGGGGATCAGTAGCGGACAGGATGTCTTTTCTTTAGTGATGTTTTGGCCAAATCAGGAAAAAGGGTGCGTGAGTTTGCCTCTGTGTTTAATCATTATATAGATGGACAGATAATTAGAATATGAATACTAAGTGAGCCTATCAGCCTAGGATGTTTCCAAGCCAGTGGTAAAACCTTTGTTTTTATGCTGAGAAGACATCTCCGTCTTCTAGAGTCTGTGCCGCTAGCAGCGCGGGGTGGACTGTTAACCCATTTACGCTGCCTTTCCTGATTAACTCCACTCGGCAGTTGATCTGGAACCATGTCCCGCTGCATGTTCCACAGAAAAAACAGTAATAACCCTCTGCTTATGGTTTTTGGGGAAAGGCAGTTCCGATAGAGAGTAATTCTACTGAGTCAGGGTGACTTCTTCCTACCACCTGTCCACCATGTAGCTTTTCTCCATAAATATATACATATATTTATTCTGATGTAAATATATATATATTTATGTAAATAAACATGTATATTTATGTAAATAAACATATATTTATGTAAATAAATATATGTATAAACGTTAGTGATCACCACTGTTCTAAATGAACTCTACTCAATCTCTGAAAGTTGTGTTTTTTAAAATCCCTTTTATAAATGGGTGTAAGACACAAAAGCTTTAAACTAAAGCAAAAGCTAACGGTGACCTATAGTCAGTGAGGGTTCAGTATGAGCCCTCTTTGCTCTGCAAAACATAAAGGTTCAAGAACTCAGGAAGCCTACGGACCACTTTGTATTTGCATAGGAAGTGCAAGTGTGGACCACTTTGTATTTGCACAGGAAGTGCAAGTGGGATCTTTTAAATTGGCCTTAAAAAAAAGGAAGTGCCCCGTGAGCTAAGGAAGGCGCTGTGCCCACACCAAGTCCTCAGGAAACTAGTGTTTCCAACAGCGTCGAAGGAGCCTCCAGTTTTTCCGTGGACCTTGTGAAATTTTCCCATAGCAAAAGCCGCAGAGGGGGAGAGGCGTGAGCCATGAAGCAGAAAACCAACGAGGCTCCTAGTTTTAATTCTAAGCAGATCCGATTACCATCCATGTGTCCCTCGATTGTTGGCGTGCCCCGTGGGACACAAGGCCCCGGGGCCCGCGTGCCCCCCGAGGTTTCGCTCTTCTCGATAACACAGCATGCCCCTTGTGTGTCCCATCACATGCGCGTAAGAGGACAATGTTGTTGATTCAGTGATGACAAATTATCCAACGTGTTTCTATGACCTGCAGCTGTTTGGCCTTTGAGAAGAGAAAGGCTCAAGGGTTTTCCCTCAGGGTTCATTTAACTTACTTATGCTATTGTAAATTGCCATAAAAAAATAGGTCATACGTGAATAAGAAAGGTGCCATCCTGCGATGTTGCCTGTTATTGACCCTGGGATCATTGTTAATTCTTCTTTTAAATGACTTGCTGTGCTAAGTGGGGGGCAGACCTTCCTCGGTCCCTCAGGGTCATTGCTTTAGGCCTGAGAAATGTTGAGGAATTCTGCAGCATGATTGGCAGAACCTCTGGTCATGTGATGACACAAGCCATTTCATTGGCTGGCTGGGTGGTCACACTGCTGGCACCGCCCTCCCGCAGATCCTTCAGGAATCCCACGTTTTGGCTAAAGGGTGGCTGCTTTGGAATTCTTAGCAAAGGCCCAGTCTTATGTAATTCTTTTGTGTGGCAATTACTAAAAACACAAGAAAAGTTATGTTCATTAGATCTTATATTTCCAAGTTAATCTTTTAAGATATTTCCAAGTTAATACCTTTCCCTAGGCAAGGGATTCATCTTCCCTTGGTCAGGGGTTGTGTGTATTTTAGGAAAAAAAGAGAGGGGATCTGAGCTCCTAGCGACCCCTGCTCAGCCCACGCAACAAGAGGGCTTGGGTGCGCACATATTTCCCCTGTAGCAGCAGAACCTTCTGATTTCAAGAAAACAAGATTTGTATCCTGTCTCCACAGTGAAAAGAAAAGCAATTTTGTTGGCACAAAGAAAAAGACCTTTAAATATAAAACATTCACTGTCATTAAAAAGATCAGATGAGTGGTCTTATATGTAACATTATAATTATACACCAAACACCTGAAATCTCAGAATGTAGCGATCCCATACGTACATGTGAAAACTATTCCTGCTCTACCATGCCCTGAAGTGATTATTCAAACACTGGAATAATTTTACTTTCTCCGTAGTTTCAACCAGTCTGATTTAAATGTTCTAGCAGAGCCTTTAAAATATTCTACTCAGATTTATGGATTTATGATTGCTCAGTGCTTCTCGGAAATCCCAGTTCCTAGTGTCGGAGTGGACGTTTCACGGTGGCCCTCGGGGGGCGGGACAGGAGAATTCTGGGCCAGCCCCCCATGTTTGTGCCCATCTGCACAGACCCAGAGCTAATGCAGGTTCAGTGTGTGTCAGAAGCGCGCGGTCCCAGGAGGCAAACAGTTTAGGGTGTCATAGAAACAAAGCTGGATAATTATGTCATGACTGGTTTCATATCACCCTGCTTCACGTTGCTCTGCATTATGTTCCTGAATAAGTGGCGGTGGCCTCGTCCCAGACCTGCACTTGAGTTTCATGCAACTAGGTATCGTGTGAGACAAGAGAATCGAGCCAAAATTTTATCCGTGTTTTTAAAATTAAAACTTTCAGTGCCATTTGAGTCCTTCCTTTCAAGCGCACAAAGTTGTGTGTATGTAGTCATGTTGTTTTTTAAAGGAAAAAAAAGGAGGCACAAGTTGCTCAAGGAATCAAGTGTTTAATGTGCTGGGTGATGAGCCACCAGACCTGAAACTGATATTTTCTTCTGTAGCTGTGAGTTTGGACAAAGAAAATTCTTACAATCACATGAGGATAATAAGAGAAAGGTCTAACTCATCTTCGGACCTTTGTTAACATCCTCCTTTATTTTCTTCCACGGATGTGGTAATGCGCAATTCCACGAAATTTCACTGTGTTCCAAATTTAGTAGAAATTTCTAGAACAGCTACCCATGATTTTTGCCCACAGAAGAGTGAATCTGAGCCCTACAAACATGGCACATGTGAAACTGAGATGGAAAGTTCCCTATTTTACACCGTTATTTCTAAGGAGTTGCCTCTTATCCATTCATAATGCAGAACGAAAAGAGAATTTCACATTCTTTAATCAACATGTGTTGTGTTTGTCTGTATTTCGTGTTTCTTATTGGTTTCCAAAGAAACATGTCAGAACACTGAACGATGCATGTGGTCACTTGTTCTAACGCTTTCACATTTTTTGCATTTCTTTCTTTTAAAGCACAAGACTCTGCTGACATTATTTTCCTTATTGATGGATCAGACAACACCGGAAGTGTCAATTTCACAGTCATTCGGGACTTCCTTGTAAATCTCCTTGAGAGACTGTCAATCGGAACTCAGCAGATCCGAGTGGGGGTGGTCCAGTATAGCGATGAGCCCAGAACCATGTTCTCCTTGGACACCTACCCCACCAGGGCTCAGGTCCTGGACGCGGTCAAGGCCCTCGGGTTCATGGGCGGGGAGCTGGCCAACGTCGGCTTTGCCCTTGATTTTGTGGTGGAGCGCCACTTCACCCGGGCAGGGGGCAGCCGACTGGAAGAAGGGGTTCCCCAGGTGCTGGTCCTCATAAGCGCCGGCCCTTCTAGTGACGAGATCCGCGACGGGGTGGTGGCGCTGAAGCAGGCCGGCGTGTTCTGCTTCGCGCTCGGAGCCGAGGCCGCGCCCCAGGCCGAGCTCCAGTACATAGCTACCAATGACAACCTGGTGTTTACTGTCCCGGAATTCCGTAGCTTTGGGGACCTCCAGGAGCAATTACTGTCGTACATTGTTGGCGTGGCCCAAAGGCTCATTGTCTTGCAACCGCCAACCATTGTCACACAAGGTACGTATGCTCTTCTCGCCGTCTGAGGGGGAGCGGGTGCTGGGCGGGCTGGCCTTTGCGGAAGGAAGGCGGGCACTTCCCTGAACGATCCGCCTGGGAGAAGCTGTAAGTACCACAGCCGAGTCCCCTCGAGGTGCGCCAGCTCTTGGACGTGACGTCTCTGAGGGTGTGGTTCCTAAGACACGAACGACCCGGGAGAGAGTGGAGAGTTCTGGTCAGATGGTGAGTGGTCAGGAAGCTGCTGTGAAGGCCGGTCCCGCCGAGCCTTCCGACCCTGTGAGACGTCAGACTGAATCACCATGTCATCTCCTTAGGATGCAGTCGTGCTAAAAATGGGTCCCAGGGGCTCCTTGCCGTCATGAGAAAGCCACTCCAGGGCAATGGCACGGGCCCCTGAAAGTCAGCCCCAGGGGAGCGTGCTCACAGACACGCGAGGGCGTCTCCCCACAGCCCTTTGTGTGCCCGGAATTGAGGGGTGCGCTTCTGAAGGTGAGACGCAATGGACCCCGGGCTTGGCGCAGCGCTTAGGAGAAGCTCTCCCCTCTGCCTGACGCATTTGGGGGGCAGTCCTTCCGAGTGGAGAGGTTACCACACACAGTCCAATGAGGGTCTTCGGTGAAAAGACCACCTGGAGTCATTTAAAAACACAGACACCTAATTGCATCCCGTGAACGTGTGGGTAACAGCTGCGCGCGGCGGGGAGAGGGCTCCGACATCTCGATGTGGGTGCAGTTGTGCTGGGGGCAGTGGCAGCGCAAGGGCGGCAGAGAGGCGCCCCGCGGGATGCAAACAGGGGGCCCCACCTGCCGGCGGAGACCTCGCCAGAGGTGGCGGGCGCGCTGCTGGCCCGCTAAGTGGGCATCGGTGAGGCACGACAGCCTGAAGCTTCTCTTGTTAGGTCGAGGCGTCCTCGCCTGGCCCGCAGCCCACTGAGCCTGCTTCGGGAAGCGCACCGTGCCCGCAGGTTTTGTGAGCGCTGAGCGTGTGCCATGGCTGCCGTGGCTGTGGCGGGGGGCTGGCCTTTGGGCCCGGGTCCCACATTCACCTGCTGTGTGACGCTGGGCTGGCCACACGGCCTTTCTTGCTCCAGTGTCTTGAATTTGCGATTCTAGGGGAAGATGTAGGTCCCATCCGGGAGGCGTTGCCAGTTCTTTTTCAGCTGGGGCAGCGCATGGCCCACACTTCAGTTTTCCCCCACGCACTAGGGAATGGAAGTGTTAGCTCCTGGTGTACAAACATCCGCTCCAATCGGCGTGACTGGTTTGTCAGGGCTCCGCAGGGGGGCCTGGCTCTCTGGTAGGAGCCGCACAGGAAGCCAAGCCCGGGAGTTGCAGGGCTGGGGGACAAGGCGACGGAGTATGATGGGGCGACGGGTAACGAGACTATAACCCAGTGTCCCTACGCTGAATGTCCCCGCAGAGTGGCAGGTTCGAGGAGGACACCACAGGGGGCTGCCATGGAAGGCGCGCTTCAGAGGGGCGGCCAGGGAAGGCCGGCCTGGGAGGCCTGGGCTGGGGGGGGAAGGGGCGGGGTGTCCCCCATGGCGTGCGGGGTGTCCCCCTTGGCGTACGGGGTGGGGCTGGCACTCGCTGGGCTTGGGGCACTGGAGGGGCGCAAGCAGCTTCATGTGGGCAGGGAGGACGGGCCTGGGGGTGGGCGGGGAGAGAGGGCCCAGGGGCCGAGCTGCAGGGCCTGCGCTGGCCCAGCTGCGGAGGGAGGGACACCCGGCCCAGGAGCCTGGGGGGCGGTCAGCGACCGGGGCCAGAGCGTGGGGTGCTGGCAGCCCGGCGGGGGCCGTGTGTCTCCTGGGCAGGGGATCCCCCGGGCCCGGAGCTGCCGAGGAGCCGAGTAGGATGCAGTTCAAGGGGCTCCGCTGCTGTGCCAGCGTGGAGGCCACTGGAGTGGGTGCAGCAGGAGCCGGGGCCACGCCCACCCGCAGGGCTGCCCTGTGGCCACGCGGGCGAGTCGGCCTTGAGCGGAGAGCAGGGCCTGCCAGGGCCGCCCTGGGGGAGGGGAGCAAAGCTTGCGGGGCAGGGTCGGGTGGCGTGGCTCTCTCCAGACTGTCCTGGGGCAGAGAAAGGGGCGGATGGTGGCTCTGTCAGGGGCATCTGACCGGGGCGGGGAGCAGAGGGCCAGGCCCTGAAGCGGATGAGAGGGAAGGGGGGTCAGCCCTGGGAGCAGGGCGGGCGAGGGAGGGGGAGAGGGCGGGCTGTGGGGCACACAGAGTTTCAGCCGCACGCGCGCCAGAACCCCGCGTGCCTGCAGAGCTGAGGGCGTGGCATTTATTGTTTACACCACAGCTGGACGCCTGCACCGTGGTCCCCGCGGGCCTGTCCTGGGGTGCTTTGTGCCCCTGCGTGTTTCCGTGTATCCTCCTAAAGAGAGTGAGGGCCGCTAAGCGTCCGTATAGTGGACTCAGTCAAGTGAGTCCCAGCGTGGCCCGAGCGCACAGCGGAGCCTGTCAGCCGTCTGGCCACGTGCAATGACGGCGGCCCCTCCTGGCCAGATAACTGCTTGATAAACGGAGGCCTCCGGCTGCAGCCTTGACCGCCTGTGTCCCTGTGAGTCTGGGAGGCCCGGCCACCTTCTGGACGGGGGCTGATTCCAAGGCTCCGCTCCTGGGACCCAGGCGGGCTGCCGACGCGGAGGCTCGGCGCGGGCGCAGGGGTCTCGCTTCGTGGTTTGTCCCTGAGATGTCCCACTCGTGCCACGTGGAGCCCTCACCACACAGGGCTCGAACAGAAAATCCGTCGGTGCCCCTGACTGGCTTTGACGTGGGTTTCCTCTTCATAAGTTGCGTGATGCCCAGGAAGTGGCGTTTTTCTTTCTCTGCCTGGAAAGTCAAGGCCTGGAGGCTAGGACGGAAGGCGGGGGGTGTTCGCGCTCTCGGCATTTGCCCTTGGCCGCGGGTGTCCACGAGGCCCCAGACGGGAGCACCAAGGGCCCTCCGAGAGGACGCTGATGGCCTCTTCAGTGACCGGAGCCGTGGCCGCAGCCTGGCCTCCAAGGCCACGCTCCAGATTCATGGCAGAAAGGAGCTTCCTGACTTTCTTAGTGACAACACGCTAGCTAACCGGGTGGCCACTGACACTAAATCTGTTTTTGGGTGACTGTCTTGTAAAAAAGGGCCGAGTGGGTGGGGGATGGGTGGGGAGCCCGAGCTGCCACCCCGTAGGGAAGGACCCAGCTGCCACCACTCCCGTGCGCGCGATGACAAGCTCCCCACTGACGCCGTGTTGGCCAGAGCCAAAGGGAGCGTCCCGTGGACGGGATTAGCCGTGTGAGGGTCGCGGTCGCGTGTGCTTGGTAAGACTGTTCCACTCACCTTCTCACGTTGCCACCTACAGTCGTCGAGGTCAACAAGCGAGACATAGTTTTCCTGGTGGACGGCTCGTCGGCACTGCCCCAGACCAACTTCAACGCCATCCGCGAGTTCATTATCAAGGTCATCCAGAGGCTGGAGGTCGGGCCGGACCTCGTCCAGGTGTCGGTGGCCCAGTACGCGGACACCGTGAAGCCCGAGTTTTATTTCAGCACCTACCCCAGCAAGAAGGAGGCCGTCCAAGCCGTGCGGAAGATGAAGCCCCTCGGGGGCTCGGTGCTGTACACGGGCTCCGCTCTGGACTTCGTCCGCAACAGCCTGTTCACGGAAGCAGCCGGCCACCGGGCCGCCGAGGGCGTCCCGAAGCTCTTGGTGCTGATGACGGGCGGTAAGTCCCTGGACGACGTCCGCCAGCCGGCCCAGGAGCTGAAGAGCAGCGGCATCCTGTGCTTTGCCGTCGGGAGCAGGGCCGCCGACCAGGGCGAGCTGGCGGACATGGCCTTTGATTCGTCCCTGGTGTTCACCCCGGCTGAGTTCCAAACCGCCCCCCTGCAGGCCACGCTGCCCAGCCTGCTGGCGCCGCTCAGAACCCTCTCCGGAACCACCGAAGGTATGGCGGGGCTGCGGGGGGCAGGGGGCGGCCGGTGCACCAGTGGGGGGCCTCGGGGCAGGGCCTTCGAGCAGCAGGGCAAACGGCCGCCTCCTGCGCGCCGGTCAGGAAGGAGGCGGCCCTTACTTGGTGGAGGCACGAGGGACAGACAAGACCTATTTCTGGCTTCTGTTGACCCTCAGCGGGGGCTTGTAGGCCTTTGATGTCCTATAATACAACTTCTTGTCTTCCGATGTCACACGAGCACTGTACGCCTTCCCAGGTCATGAAATAAGAACTGTGTGGCTTGAGCTATAGGATCGGGCCCTGCCTGTGTCCGGAGCTTCTGGCCGAGACAGTCCCCTCTCAGCTCCTGCCTCTCGACAGGTCCCAGTGCTCTGTGTCTGCTGGGGACCCCTGTCCAGCCTCGTTCTCCCCCGCCTGCCCGCACCCCGAGGCGTGGCCTGGGCCTTCCTCTCCGGAGCGGGCAGCCCACTCCTCGGTGACCAGAGCAGAGTGCTGGCCTGCTGTCCCCTCTCTCTACGGCATGTCCTGTCTCTCCGTGGGAAGCCTAGGGAACGAATGGGCGCCAAGAGACAAACCGAGCAATTGTTCAGCTCCCTTATTTAATGTGGCTGTTGGTGGGAAGCTATTTAAAAAAAGACCCCCGGCAGTTTGCGTGCTTATGAGCAAGGGGGCTTTGCCACCCCTGGTGAGGATGGATGTCGCAGAGGCCAGCTTTCTGCCTCCGGACCCTTCCCGCCCTGCCTTCCCTGCACTGCGTGAGTGCCCGCTTTCTGCTCCGGCACTCGCGCGCGCTCTCTCTCTCTCTCTCTCTCGTTTTCTTAAAAATTCTAATCCACACTCATAGCCAAAGTGCAACTTGACAGAACATAGGATAAAAGGAGTTGCTAGGTTTAAATTTTCACGACACCAGGGGACAGATGGGAGAGAATTTTTTCAAAAGGCACGCACTTGCATGGCGGGGAAAGACAGTCTCGGTGGAGCACCGCACTTTTGGTCTCCCCTGTGCGCGGCCCCAGCCCGGCCCAGCCAGCAGACCCTTTCCGTTCCCCCTGCTCCCCTGGCCCCGGGCTCGCACTCCGGAAGGACTCCCGCGGGCACCCTGTTAGGCAGAGGGAACAGCGGGGAAGAATGAGCGGGCTCTCCCAGGGGAGCCTCGAGATGAGGGCAGGCCTGTCCCTGTAGGTGTTTTCAGCCCGGAGCGGCTCACGCTCTTGGGTCACCCTGGGAGAGCGCTTCCCGTCTGCCTGTCAGTGGGCGCGCCCGAGCGCGCGCGGGGGCGAACCCGGAGGGCCCCGTCTCGGGCGGGCACCCTGGCTGGGACTGGGTCCCCAGCCAGCGGTGAGCCCCCCCGCCCCCCCCGCCCCACAGAGCTCAGTCCCAGGGAAGGGGGTCCCGTTTCAAGGCCCCAGTCGTTTCTGCCGGTTGAAAACACCGCACCTTTGGCGTCGTGTCCGTGAGTCAGCTTGGCCTCTCACTCGGCTATCGACATGTGTCGCAAACGCCGGCCCCCGCTGGAGGGACATGGGCAGCCCCCTGCCACGTTCCACGGGCCGGACGCGCTTTGCCTCCCCGTGTGTCCCCCGTGTCCTGCGTGTTGGCATGTGTGTACCTGCGGCGGGCACACATGCGAAAACCCTCCGCGGGCGTGTATGTCTGTCTCACCTTGTTCTCTGTGCTTCACTGCAGTTCACGTAAATCCAAGGGATATCATCTTTCTTTTGGATGGATCGCTCCACGTCGGAAAGACCAACTTCCCCTATGTGCGGGACTTTGTAATGAACGTAGTTAACAGCCTCGATGTTGGAAGCGACAGGATTCGTGTGGGGGTAGTGCAGTTTAGCGACACTCCGGTCACGGAGTTCTCCCTGAACACGTACCAGACCAAGCCAGACATGCTCGCTCACCTGCGGCGGCTGCAGCTCCTGGGGGGGTCGGGCCGGAACACGGGCGCGGCGCTGCGCTACGTCCGGGCGCACCACTTCACCGAGGCCGGCGGCAGCCGGATCCGCGCACGCGTCCCGCAGCTGCTGCTCCTGCTCACGGCCGGGCGGTCCGAGGACTCCTACCTGCACGCTGCTAATGCGCTGGCCCGCGAGGGCGTCCTGACCTTTTGTGTGGGAGCCAAGCAGGCGGATAAGGCCGAGCTTGAGCAGATTGCTTTTAACCCGAGCCTGGTGTATCTCATGGACGATTTCAGCTCCCTGCCGGCTTTGCCCCAGCAGCTGATTCAGCCCCTAACCACATATGTTAGTGGAGGTGTGGAGGAAGTCCCACTCGCCCAGCCAGGTAAAGCTCCCCCGCTGCGCGGGGCTCCCTCCCCCAGCACCCCCGGCGGGCCGGTGGCCCCGTACAAACTCCACAACACGGTGACCCGCAGGGAGCTCGAGGGGGGCTCGAGACACTGTTCCAGCCGCTGTCGGCGCCCCGTCTGAAGGGGGTCTTGGGTGACGGCACGTGTGGGGGTCGGCTTCTGCTCCTCACACCACAGCCCGCCTTCCACCCAGAAGCTGCTTCCCCCGGTGCCTGTGAAGGTTCTGGGGTGTGAGCCGAGGTGGAAGCGAGAGGGTGCCTGCAGATAGAGACGTATCCCTGCCCCACGCGAGGCTGCCTTGGGATCAGTGGGGGGTCGCAGTTCTTTTCTTTAGGTGACATTTCTTTATGCTCACAATCCGCTGTATCTGGACCAGAGGCTGTAGCTTTAAGTGGCGGTAACGCGATTTCCAAAGGCAGCCCCGGGCACGGCCCTTCCTGCAGAGGAACACGGCCGAGGGCAAGGGGTGCCGAGCCCCCCAGCTTGCTGACACCGCGCAGACGGGCAGCGAGACGGAGGCGCCAGGACCCGAAGCCGGGGGTCCTGGGCAGTGTTCACACTGAACATCGCGTTTGCGTGACTCGCTGGAGCCCCCGCGGCGGCTGTCCCCCTTTTCCGGGTGCCTAGATACGGCAGATTGGGGCGCCGTGACCCACAGAGCAGAGAGGGACACTATCCTGCCTGCTGACCTGTGACCCCCGTTTGAATGAAAAGGCGATCCTGTTAGGACAGATAGGTGTGGGCCAACTCGGTTATCCCCGGGGAGCGGCACCATCCGCCTCTGTCACTGGAGGTCGGTCACCTTTCACGGAGGACAATAAGGACCCCGTGTTTGATCATTCGGTTTATAATTTGGAAACACAGTCTGCTCTGGAGCGACAGCCCCCTGGGCCTCTCATTGTCTTGCTCTGTGGGAGAAGCCGCGATGCTAGGTTGGGTAGGCCGGCCTTGTTCTTCTAGTCCTTCGTCTGCACTCACTCCTGGCAACAGCGTGGGCACGTTAAGACCGCTGGTGGGGGTCCGTCTCCCCTTGCCGGGGCGGCGGCCGTCAGACGCACCGTCTGGACTCCCAGGGCCGAACGAGGGCGCTGCGCGGCGGAAGCCCGGCTGGTGCCCGCCAGGCTCTTGACCCTCACTGTGTCCTCACCTCCTTGTTTCGTAGAGAGCAAGCTAGACATCCTCTTCCTCTTCGACGGCTCAGCTAACGTCGTGGGCCAGTGGCAAGCCATCCGCGACTTCCTCTACAAGATGATCGACGAGCTCGACGTGAAGCCGGATAGGACCCGAGTGGCCGTGGCTCAGTACAGCGACGACGTCAGGCTGGAGTCTCGCTTCGACGAGCACCAGAATAAGCCCGAACTCCTGAGTCTGGTGAAGAGGATGAAGCTCAAGACCGGCAGGCCCCTCAACTTGGGCTACGCCCTGGAGTACGCGCACAGGTCCATTTTCGTGAAGTCAGCTGGGAGCCGCATCGAAGAGGGCGTGCCGCAGCTCCTGGTGCTGCTGGTGGCAGGGAGGTCGGCCGATCGCGTGGAAGAGGCCGCACGGGAGCTGAGGCAGAGCAGGGTGGTGACGTTCGCGCTGCAGGTCAAGAACGCAGACCGCGCCCAGCTCGAGCTCATAGTGCTGTCCCCCGCCTTCATCCTGGCTGCCGAGTCGCTCCCCAAGATCGGAGACCTTCAGCCACAAATTGTGAACCTCTTTAAAACAGTGCAGACTGGGCTGCCAGCGCCAGGTATGACGGTGGGGCGCCGACCGCGTCTGCCGCTCGGCTCTGCAGCGCGGGGGCCTCGGCGGGCGGCGGCTGCGGGGGCCCGGGGAAGGTGCAGGAGTGATGGCGGTTTGTGCAGGGGCAATGAAATGCGGCTTTTCTTCCCCGGCTCGGACCCTCTGGCTGTTCTACAGGGCAAAACGGGAGGATCAGGGTGGTGATTTTTAAGGACATTGACGTCTTTCACAATAAGATACGTGCTAAAGATTTAGACCTATTAGTGGTTAGAAATCCTTTTAGGAAACATGATTTTACTACATGCATAATAAAAGCCACATGGCATGGTTACAGTGAGCTAAGCCAGTCTTCCTCCTCATACGCCCCCGCGCCCTGTGTTCGGGGGGTGCCGCTGTGTTAGCACCCCTCCGCCCATTCACTAAGGACACATGGCAGAGGAGCGCGGACACGCTCCCACCACAGGCGCTGCAGGACAATTTTTCACGAGAGCACCATGCCTTTGCGTTTAGCCGCTTTCCGGTTGCTGATACAAATGCAGTGGAAAGAGTAATTAATTTCACGAGCAACCCTTTCGATGGGCTGCTGAGAATCGAGAGTTCCCGCTCTCGATGGCGGGGCCCACAGGCGGTCGGTTCTGGATCGTAGCCCGGGCCCTGGGCCGCATTTCCCCGCCCCGCCCCGCGGTGGCTCGCAGCGAACCATGTGAACCTGCCCGCCTCCAGCAGGGCGGCGGTTCAGCAGGCTCCGCTGCCGCCTCTCTGCAGTGCCTCGTGTCCTCCTGGAGCGTGCCTTTGCAAGTTCACCGTACTGCCCACGCGTTGGACAGCTCTAAAATAAAAGTGCTACCTCTATACACGGGTGCATGTTCCCCCACGGCTGCTGTGGCAAATGACCACAAACTGGGTGGCATAACACAGAAGTGAATTCATCACCTCACCCTTGCAGCAGTGCCAGATGCACGCCCAGGCCCCCAGGCTGACTTCAAGGCGTCGGTCAGACCGACCATGTTCCTCGGGAGGTGCGGGTGGGTTCCCCTTCCCTGGCCTTTTCAGCTCCCAGAGGGGCCCGCAGCTTCTGGCTAGTGGCCCCTTCCTCCACCCTCAGTGCCAGCAGCATAGTATCTCCTCTCTCCCTGTACCTCTGTTTCCACTCCCCTCTCGTCTCCCTCTAGACTGGATCCTCTCGTCCCCTCGTATAAGAACACCCCCAAAGTCACGTTCTCTTCTGGGGATTCAAAACCAGACATGTCTGTGGGGCCGTTATTCGGCCTCCCAGAGCTGGCACGAAACGGTCCCTCGCACGTCCTGTTTGAGTCACCAGGCTTTCTTCCTCCAGTTTCAGAGGCGAAGGACGTGGTATTTCTGCTCGATGGCTCGGACGGTGTCCGGAGCGGCTTCTCTCTGTTGAAAGATTTTGTCCAGAGCATGGTGGAGAGCCTGGACGTGGGCCCGGACCGCGTGCGCGTGGCCGTGGTGCAGTACAGCGACCGTACCCGGCCCGAGTTCTACCTGAACTCCTACATGGACCAGCAGAGCGTGGTCAACGCCGTCCGCGGCCTGGCCCTGCTGGGAGGGCCAGCCCCCAACACGGGGGCCGCCCTGGGCTTCGTCCTGAACAACATCCTGGTCGGCTCGGCCGGAAGCAGGATCGCGGATGGTGTCCCGCAGCTCCTGGTCGTCCTCACAGCCAGCAAGTCCGGGGACGACGTGGGCGGCCCCTCGGGGCTCTTGAAGAGGGGCGGTGCGGTGCCCATCGGCATCGGCGTCGGCAACGCCGACATCACAGAGCTGCAGACCATCTCCTACATCCCTGACTTCGCTGTGGCTGTCCCCGCCTTCGAGAAGCTGGCGGACGTCCGGCAGCAGCTCTCCCAGCGGGTGATCCAGCTCAGCAGCGAGGAGCTGAAGAAGCAGCCGCCGGTTTTTCCAACAAGGCTGGGTAAGGAGGGGGCTCCTCGGGTCGCCGTTCCCTAAAACAACTGGGGTGACGTGTTGGGACTGCAGGCTACAGCGTGTTCTCCGCTTCGCCTCTGCTGCCGCGTGGGGTGTGAGCTAGAATGCCGGGAAGGGGTAGGAGCCACCTGTGTTTGGTCTCGGGGGCCACAGTGGCTGAGGCCTGGGCAGATGATTTTGGCCACATTGAAGTCTGATGGAAGGGCATCATGTGGGCTATTCCAGCCCGGCAGGGAGTCTTTTGGGTGGGAACCCGCGGGGTGGGGCCGTCTCCCCAACGACAGCGGCCCTTCTCAGCTGCCCCTGGAAGGTCCAGCTGGCAGCCTTCCGTGACCAGGGCCAGGGGTTTGACCCTAGGTGCTGTGTCGAGCTGGAGCACGGTCTCTGAAATAATTGGTTTTTCCAGAGCCGGAGTGTGAAGGTGGCTTTTGAATCGGCTTGGTGCTGCGAAGTGTCTTAGCTGGCAGGAAGGCCTCCCGGCCCTGAGGCTGTCCCAGGCCCATGTTCTCCTTCCCGCCCGCTTTCCCGCGCCTGCGTGCAGCACGCTGGAAGACGGTGGGAGCCCGGCCACTGGGCAGGAGGGGGCCCGGGCGGGGCGGTCCCCACGGGGAAGAGGCAGCTGCGTCTTCTCCTTGCGGCTCATGTTCCCGAGAACACCGCCTGCAGCCTCGCGGCAGGGAGCAGGGGAGGGAAGGGAGGAGAAAAAGCCAGGGAGGAAAGCCAGATGCAGGACATGGGCCCGGGGGATGCGGGAGGTGAGGGGGACAGCCATGGCGTGACTGTGGGGGTCCGCTTCCCCCCTCACGTCCCCCAAACAGCTTCTGTGGGATGTTCCAAAGGGCTTGTCACCAAACAAATGTGGGAAACAGGGAGACACAATGGGAAGGAGCCCCGCGAACTGACTTGCTTCGCGCATCTCCAGCTCTGCGGGGGCGGCGGCAGCGCTTCCGAGCTCCCTTCCCGCCCGAGCCCTCTCCTGCCCCATGGCTGTGCGGCCCGCGCCCCGAGCGCGCCCCGGGGACCACCCCCGTGGGGAGCGGGCTGCTTCTGTGCCGGGCGCGCAGGCACGTATCCCCGCAGTGACAGGACTCCTGCCCGTTCACGCCCGCCCGGCCTCGCCCGTGCCCGCTCCCCCGGCCTGGGCCGAGGCGGTCTCCTGGAACCCCCTGCTCCTGGCAGACAGCAGGGGATTGGAGGAGGGCTTCCGGAAGCACCCGGGGGCCTCGCCCAGCGCGGTGTCCGTGCCTCAGCTCCCTGCACCCCCGTGATGCCGGTGACCTCTCCCCATCCCGGGCCCCCTGCTCACCTACGCAGGGATGTCCTCCGCTCTTTCTCTCTCCGGATCATCCGCGCCCGCCGCGCGTGGGAGGGGCAAGGTCCTCCACGCTGCTGACGCATTGCTCTCCTCCTTAGTCCCCCCACGCCCCGCACCCCTCCAGCAGCGCCTCAGTCCCTGTTCAGATCGCACAGCCCCTATGTCTCCGCTCCGAACCCCCCAGTGGGCCCCCCTCACGCCGCCGCACCCAGAGCGCCCCTCGCGAGGGTCCCCCATCTGGCCGAACCCAGCGGTCGGCTCTCCAGGGCCATCTGGTCAACTCACGAGCAGCATCTGCCGCCGCTGAGGTCCCCACGCCGTCCACCTGTGGCTCTGGTGACCAGTCTCCGCCCTGCGCACAGCGGCCCCTCCTTAGCCTTGCAGGCCCCTCCCTTCACCCTGACCTGTAGTCGCTGTGCAGGGGATGCAGGCGTTTTACCCAGAACTGTTGGAATGAGGCCGCGTTGCTGGTTACATGACACATCGGGAGGTGGTTTGCTCAGGCTAAGAACCGGGTCCTGGTGAAGGCGAAACCCATGATGTCGTTGGGTTCCCAGGTGCTGGTGGCAAGAAGGACGTGGTCTTCCTCATCGACGGGTCCCAGCCCGCCGGCCCCGAGTTTCACAACATCCGCGGGTTCATCGAGAGGCTGGTGGACTCGTTGGACGTGGGCTTCGACACCACGCGGGTGGCGGTCATCCAGTTCAGCGAGGGCGACCCCAGGGTGGATTTCCCGCTCAACGCCTACTCCAGCAAGGAGGAGGTGAAGAGCATCGTGCGGCGGCTGTCCCCCAAGGGCGGGAGTCGGGCCAACATCGGTGGCGCCCTGGAGTACGTGTCCCGGAACATCTTCAAGCGGCCCCTGGGGAGTCGGATTGAGGAGGGCGTCCCTCAGTTCCTGGTCCTCGTTTCATCCGGGAAGTCCAGCGACGAGGTGGGAGACCCGGCTGCGGAGCTCAAGCTGGCCGGCGTGGCGCCGCTGGTGGTGGGCCGCAATGCGGACCCGGAGGAGCTGGCGAGGATCTCCCTGAGCCCCGAGTATGTGTTCTCGGTGAGAACCTTCCGGGAGCTGCCCAGCCTGGATCAGAAGCTGCTGACGCCCATCACGACCCTCACCTCCCAGCAGATAGAGCGGCTGCTGGCCAGCGCGCGCCACCCTCCGCCAGGTGAAGGCGCGGGCTTGCTGCGGCTGCTGTTCTGGGCGGGGGCCGGGGGAGGTTTGACGCCAAAAAGGAACAGGCTCCGATGTCCGTGGTGCTCGTGGTGAGTACAGTTAAAATACAGGCGCAGCTGCAACTCAGCCAGGCGGCCCCTGACCCGTTGCAGGTGGGAGGTGGGCCGCGGGCCGGCCCCTGCGGGGAAGGACGCCTGCCGGGACTTGAGCCTGTGGCAGGGGAAGCTGCGCGAGGCTCAAGGACATGGGACTTGGCCCAGGTCCGGCGTGGTCAAGGCAGGGAGGGGCCTGCGGCAGGGCGCCTCGCTGGGTCCCGTGGCCGAAGCGGCGACGGGTGAAGCGGCAACGTCGCTCCCTCAGCCAGGACCGAGGCGGGTTCGGTTATTCTTGTCTTCTTTCGTCAGCGCCCACACATGGTGACGGTGTGGCCTCATTTTGGCCTTGATGCGGCGTGGTCACTGTGCGGCTTCCCCCGCCGTGGGGGTCCCCTGCGACCTTTTGTGCTCCACAGGAGAGCCGGCGCCTGCTGTGTGTGGGGGGACAGAGTTTCTGTTTCTCAGCGTAAACGGCTCGGGGGCATGACTCGCTCAGCTTTGGCTGTGCGGTTCCCACCATGGCAGCGCGGTGATGTGGGAGGCAAAAGACACATTGCATTTGTCGAGTGGAAACATAGGACTCGTTTAAAACGTGGCGTCCCCGAAGTACCTAGGATTCTAACTGAGGGGCAAACAGGACTTTTGGGTTAAGTTGTAGTTAAACAATGGACTTATAGAAAGAGCTAGGAGAGGTAATATTGAAAATAAAAACTTTGTGTAAATGTTGGAGACGTGTGAGCAAAAAGACACACACGCCTGTCGCCCCGGGGGTCGGCAGCGGCCCTGCGGGGGGCAGCGGACGTCCCCTGGGCGTTCAGCAGCTACGTGGCCTCGGATGAGGAGAGGACCTTTGACCTCGGCTGTCTCCCTCCTCTGGTGCCACAGAGATGTTGGTCCGGGGACCCCCGTGCCTCTGGTAGTAACAGTTCACGGTTCTGTAGGCGATAGTTCCCAGGACTTGTTTCTAAGTATTGCTTTTATTTTTAAAATTAGTGGTAACCCAGACCACACAGCCGATATTAAAATTGAGTAAACGCACAAAAATTTGGGAGAACTTAAAATATTTCAAGAAGTGGATACGATTTGAGTGAAAAAGCCCCAATTTTAATGATTACTTAAAGACATGAGCACATGGGACGCGGACCGTAGTTTCAACGTTGCCGTTGTGGTGCAGTACACCGCAAAATTCAGAGTAACATACAAAGGGCCGGCACAGAAGCAGATGACCGCCTGCCGTGTCCTGAGCTTTCCTCCTTTTTTCTTTTGCCCCAGCTTTTGAGAGCGACGCCGCCGACATCGTCTTCCTCATCGACAGCTCAGACAGCGTGAGGCCCGAAGGCATCGCGCACATTCGAGACTTTATCCTCAGGATCGTCCGAAAGCTCCACGTTGGCCCCAATAAAGTGAGAATTGGGGTTGTGCAGTTCAGCAATGAGGTCTTCCCTGAGTTCTACCTGAAGACCCATAAGTCCCCAGCTGCTATCATCAGCGCCATACGCGAGCTGGGGTTCAAAGGCGGGTCTCCGCTCAACACGGGCAGAGCTCTGGAGTTTGTGGCGAGAAATCTCTTCGTCAAGTCCGCCGGGAGCCGGATAGAAGACGGAGTGCCCCAGCACCTGGTCCTGGTTCTGGGGGGCAATTCCCAGGACGACGTTTCCAGGTTTTCCAAGGTGATGCGCTCCTCAGGGATTGTGAGTTTAGGGGTCGGAAACCAGCACGTTGACAGGGCAGAGCTGCAGACCATCACTGACAACCCCAGGCTGGTCTTCACGGTGCCAGAGTTCAGAGACCTCCGCAACGTGGACGACAGGGTCCTGAGCTCCATCGGCCCCTCTGGGGTCACGCCTGCGCCTCCGGGAGCGCAGATGACCCCCCCGCCGCGGACAGGTACGAGCCGTGGGCCCGGCCGGCAGGGTGGGACAGCCGGTTGTTTCCAGCTGGAAAATGTAATTAGCATTCATGTGAATGGTTTTCATCTCATAGGGTTGTTGCTCAGATAATATTAGAAATTAAATACTGGAATAATAATGTAGTTGAAATTGTAGAAGGAAATATCCCAGAAGGCATAGCGTTACCAATTCCGCCACGAGAGGTCCACGAGCGTCTCTGGGGTCGATGTGGCCCCACCGAAAGGTTCCGCGAAGGTGCACTGAGGGGCAGCTGCCGGCGCTGCCTTTCGGAACGGGACGGCCTCGTGGAAGCTGGCCAATCCATGACCCCCTCTGCTCCGGTCTTGACTGCTTGATGGGACTAGGAAATGGCCCCAAGCGCCTCTGGTTTTCAGCAGTGTCCCGCAAAGCTTTCGGCATGTTGGCAGGCAGCCCCCCGGAGGCGTGTGGGGTCTGCTTTGCATTTCGCAGCCGGCTCCCGCCAGCCTCCCCTTGCTCTGTCTGCGGCACAGGTCCCGCATTCCTGCCAGGCAACACCCTGTGTTTGGATGGGAGGAAAGTGTTTGGTGGCATTTCCTAAAGCACCTGAAGTCGGGGACACCACCGCAGGAGGGGGCGCCGAGTTCCCGTGTTTCCTTTCCTTTTTGTTTCAACGCGGTCTCGTTGAGCTCGTTTTCGGTGTCACGTTTTGAGGGCTGTGAATCTGGAAACTACCGCGGCATGGGGTGGGGCCCAGGCGCCCCCTGTGAATAAGTTACAGGAACGTCTTGTTTCGATTATTTTGTCTTCTGCGTATTGACGTGTGGCTGTGGACGCTACCGTTCTCCTTATTTTCATTTTGGTCACTTTCAGACAAAAAGAAAGCAGACATCGTGTTCCTGTTGGACGGCTCCATCAATTTCCAAAGGAACAGCTTCCAGGAGGTGCTCCACTTCGTGTCTGACATTGTGGACACAGTCTCCGGGCAGGACGACTCCATCCAGGTGGGGCTGGTCCAGTACAACTCCGACCCCACCGACGAGTTCTTCCTGAAGGACTTCGCCACCAAGCAGCAGGTCATCGACGCCATCAACAAGGTGGTCTACAAAGGGGGGAGGCACGCCAACACCAAGGTGGGCCTCGAGCACCTGCGGGTGCATCACTTCGTGCCGGAGGCGGGCAGCCGCCTCGACCAGCAGGTCCGCCAGATCGCGTTTGTGATCACGGGAGGGAAGTCCATAGAGGACGCGCAGGAGGCCAGCCTGGCACTCACCCAGAGGGGGGTCAAGGTGTTCGCGGTGGGCGTGGGGAACGCCGACTCCGTGGAGACCGGGAAGATCGCGTCCAACAGCGCCATGGCCTTCCGCGTGGGGAACACCCAGGAGCTGTCGGAACTGAAGGAGCAGGTGCTGGAAACCCTGGATGATGCCATGTACAAGATCTTGTGTCCGGGGCTCACGGACGAGTCCAAAGGTAACCCCTCCGCGGGCGCCCTTGCAGGCCTGTCCTGCTGCCGCGCATGGCAGACTCAGCTACCTAGATTTGCCTTGATCTCCAGCGCGGGCCCAGGGATTCCTTACGCATGTGCTTCCTCAGGCATCGATGGACTCATATCCTTGGGGGTTGGTCCTGGGGGTCACCTTGCCCGTTACGGGACCTTCTTTGAGTACAGTAGAGGAAGCCTGTCTCTCTTGCCTTTATAAGACTGTCTCTCCTTATTCTGTAATCCTCCAATAATTCCAATTTACCGACCCCTGTTTCTGTTCATAGATTTACTAGATCAATGGTATGGGGGATCAGAATATTTGAGTTCTCAGGTGTGTTTAGTCTAAAGCACGGAACTTGGGAGGCGCCTGAATAGCAACTGAACGTCACACCGGCACTGACGAACACCCTGAAAAACACACACACGGTGTGCGCCAGGGCCGCAGGGCGCGGGCCGATCTGACCGCTGCTCAGGGCTCGCCCCCAGAGGGGCCCATTCCACCCTTCGCGTGAGGCGCCCTGGCCCCGCCCCGGGGTCGTGCCTGCACGCAGGGCTGGTCTCTGCAGCCACACCTAGGGCTCACCGCCTGCTTCCCCCCGCAGCCTGCAGCCTGGATGTGATTCTGGGGTTCGACGGTTCACGAGATCAGAATGTCTTTGTGGCTCAGAAGGGCCTCGAGTCCAAGGTGGATGCCATCTTGAATCGGATCAGCCAGATACAAAGGCTCAGCTGCAGCGGGGGTCAGATGCCCACCGTCCGGGTGTCCGTGATGGGCAACACGCCTTCGGGCCCTGTGGAGGCCTTCGATTTTGCCGAGTACCAGCCGGAGCTGCTCGACAAGTTCCGGAACATGCGCAGCCAGCACCCCTACGTCCTCACCGCGGACACGCTGAAGGCCTACCAGAGCAAGTTCCGGCAGGCCTCGCCGGCCAGTGTGAAGGTGAACAGGGCCTCCGCCGGGCCTCCGGGGGGACCCCGGTGTCCCGCAAGCGCTCTTCCCGTTCCGCGGCCTTGGTGACGCCCGAGCGTGAGCCCTTCATGCGACCTGCTGTAATACTCCAAAATGCACCATTGTCCTTGTTTTACTCATGCTCTCTAAAAACAAAACAAAACAAAACAAACCCCCCCGCCCCAGAAATCACTAATTAGGCTTGAATGAGTTGCATTTGTGATTAATTCATGCTTTTAGTCCTACCTATGAAATAGTTCCGTTCTCTGTACATGGCTCTCTCCCTCCATGTGTTTATTGTGTGTACACGCACACACACTGTTTCCAGAAACAACTACTCACAAATAGGAGAGTGAGGCAAGCCGTCTTCGTTCTCATTGCTGCTTGCGTTTTTGGGTAAATCAAATGCCACCACACGCCCCTTCATTTCCCACCGGATTAACTGCACGACAGCTGAGTGCTGGGGCCACGGGGCCACGGGTGTGAGCTGTACACGGGTGTAAGCGGAGGCATGGGGACAGCTGAGCCCCCTCGCTGGAGTGTCAGCTTCAGCTGGAGTTTGACTTGTCTTCTATTTTCAGGTGGTCATTCATTTTACTGATGGGGCGGATGGAGACATGGCTGCTTTACAAAAGGCTTCGGAGGAGCTCCGACGAGAAGGTACGTTCCGGAGCTTTCTAAATGGGGGACGGAGGCAGGCGGGCCGCCGAACTGGAGAGAAAGGACCCGCGGATGGGTCCTCGGGTTTTGCCTGGGGCGAGGGGGTGGGGCGGCCAGGGGCCAGCTGTGCCCAGACCGAGTCCTGGCACAGGCCCCGCCGTCTCAGACCCACCCAGGGGGCGCGATCCTGGAAAGCATCACGCTTTTGCAAAGAGACAGGAAGATTCACGTAGCGAGATCACATAAACTAGGAATAATTTTGTAGCAAAAAATATTGCTCTATTCTCAGTTACCACAGCTCAAGAATACAACCACATTAAACAAACGTAGACTTTAATATAACCTAAATAAAGGCATGCTTTCCAAATTCAAGGGGACTGGAGGAGCCACGGTGCCTGCTGTCAGATGTGACGCCTGCCTGTCACGGCTTTGGCCTCCGGTCCCCCTGACTGTCAGGGCGTGGACGCCAGCACCGGGGGTTAAGAGGGGTGTAGGGAACCGTTAAGTTGTCACCAGAAGGTTCTGTTTATTGCTTGTTTTTCCCGAGCAGTGGAGACGAGGGTGCGCTCACCTGGCTTCGGGGGTGTGGTGCGTTACTTTTTCCACAGCAAACCTGTGTCAGGCAGGGCCAGTTGGGGATTTTATGTATGAAGATACATCAGTGTCGCTACCTGTATTTACATGAAGCGGTTTAGTTACCGACATACCTGAGACCATGGAAGGGGCTCGAAGCCGCAGGACCTCAGCTCTAGGGAGTGGCAAACTAGCTGGACCCCCCGAGTGTCAGGGGAGGGCCGAAGGGCGCACTGACGCCGCCCTTAAAGACGGGCGGCGTGGCTCTCCAGCACCGCCGTGGGCCTCAGCGCGCGTGCCGTCCTCGCAGGTGTCCGCGCGCTGATCCTGGTGGGCCTCGAGCGCGCCCCCAACTTGGAGCAGCTGATGCAGCTGGAGTTCGGCCGAGGGTTCATGTACAACAGGCCCTTGCGGCTCAACTTGCTGGACCTGGACTACGAGCTCGCGGAGCAGCTGGTGCGTGTTCTTTGTCTCCACACACCGACCGCGGTGTTTGGCTTCTCGGGGCGATGCAGTCAGGCCCTGGCTGGCGCAGTGGCTCAGTGCATTGAGTGCCGGCCTGGGCGCCAGCCTGCGAAGGGTCGCCAGTTAGGCTCCCAGGCAGAGCGCAGGCCTCCAGTTGGGGCTGCGCGAGAGGCGACCACACATGGATGGTTCTCTCCCTCTCTTTCTCCCTCCCTTCCCGTCTCTCTAAAAATAAATAAGTAAAATCTTAGGGGGGAAAAAGATAATGAAGTCACTGATCACCAGGCAGCAGGGGAGGGGCCGCTGGGTGGGTGACTTCACCCACTGACCACACGTGGGACCGGCCTTGTTGCCACAACATTGCGTGAGTCTTGGACATCGGGAGACGCAGAGCGGGAGGGCTGGCGAGCTGGGACACGGTCCCCCGGCGTGCCGAAGCTGTGGCCTCAGGATCCCCTTGCTCCCTTCTGTGGCGGCCTGTTCATTCCTAAGGTTGCTGAGAAGGCCAACCATCGAGACTGACCTTCCCACACAGAAACCGTGCCTGCGGCCGCGGAAAGCCGGCACGAGGAGAACAAGGATGTGCAGGGAGGGGAAGGCCGTTTCAGGGCAGAGAAGGGCTTCCCCTGCCTTCCCTTCGGGCTTCCTCGGAGCGCGGGAAGGCGCCCGGGGCTCACTCGCCCTCGAGCGTCGGCCCCTCTCAGCCGGAGGTGTGCGAGCCGGAGTGGGGCCGAGCAGCCCACTCCGAGGCCCTGGGGATGGGCCGGTTCTGCCCCGGCCACCGCTGCCTGCTGCCCAGCACTGGAATGAGGATTTTAAAAGACTGGCTGGAAGGCCGTTGAGTCAGCCGACGAATCTGGGGTGCGGGAGAGAGGGGAGCTCTGGGGGGCTCGCTGCCAGGAAACACACCGACCGCCGCGCGTTCCGCGGGCGGAGATGTGCTTTGGGGGTGGCTCCTGTGTGCCAGGGCAGGAAGGGACTGTCAGAGCGTGAGAGGGGCCGCAGAGGCACTGGTGGCCCGGCGGGGGCGCCGTGGCTGGGAGGCAGGGGCCGGGCTGTCTGTCCCACACCAGGCCTCCTCCAGGCCGCTGCCCCGTCCCGGGCCCTGACCCCGGGTCTTGGTTTTGAAGCCGCCTTCTGTTCTGACCATCGGCAATCTGTTCGCTACGGTTGCTCTTTGGAGCTTAAAAATACATAAATTACGCCTCACATCTGAAACTTGAGTATCTGTGTTGGAAACTTCTAGAAATAAGGCCTCGCCTGAGGGGACATTGGGAACAGGGTTTGTTTTCCTTTGCTCTTTGGTCTCCTGTTACTGACCCCTCCCCCACCCTGACGGTGAAGCCACGAAGCTGGTCCCTGTGTGAGTGCCACATGGGGGGGGACTTCCTCTCTCTCTGCGGAATCCTCACAGTCCAGATCTTGACCTCTAGGGCGTACCTGTGCTTCTTTGGGAGGCCTGCTGACACTCGAACTTTCTTGCTACAATTTGACAGGACAACATTGCCGAGAAAGCTTGCTGTGGGGTGCCCTGCAAATGCTCCGGAGAGAGGGGAGACCGCGGACCCATCGGCAGCATCGGGCCGAAGGTATGGCGGCTTCGCCCCTTCTCCTGCCTGAGGCTGCTCTCGGAAGCCTGTCATGCCTGGGCTGGAGATGGGGGGAGCGGAGGGGCCCCCAGGTTGCAGGACAGAGGACTGGAGGAGTGGATGCATGTTCAAAAGTCCACTCCCTTCCCCCAGTCCCTGGGGCGACGCGACCGAGCTGTCCCTTGGCCCATCGGCTCTGCATGTTATAAAAGGACGTTAGAACCAGCGGGTGTCCTGGGCCGCTCAGTGCGGACCGTCGTCAACAGGGATGCTTAGCATCTGTTCCCCGAGTCACAGGAGACAGACGGGGTCTCGTGACAGATCGGGAGCCCTAGGGATCCTGACGGAAAGAACAATCACACTGAAATAATGAGTAGAAAATGTGACGTTCAAGGGCGCAGCTAAAGCGGGGCCGAACTGGAGCCCGGCTCTGCCTCACGCTGGGGGCCAGGGAGGCGGTCCGCACAGAACAGAGACCCCCGAGCCCCACGGTGTAACCCGGGAACCCATGTGCTTTGTCCTAGGGCATATCCGGAGAAGACGGCTACCGAGGTTATCCCGGTGACGAGGGGGGACCCGTAAGTGAAGCTGTTTATTCCCGACGTTGTCACTTCCTCCTTGCTCTGTGTCGGGGCTGAACGGCGGGGTTCCCACTCCGCTCAGTGTCCGAGGCCTCTCCCTCTGGGAAACACCGACGTGGCACTTCCTCGGCACCTGCCGGATAGCCACGCGATGGAAAACGGCGCGGCGCCCTTCGTGTGACAAGCGTGGTTCTGGGGGCGGGGCTCGCCCGCCTGTGTCCCGAGGAGGGCTCGCTGTGCCTGGGGCCCAGGGCCGCCACGTTGGGCTCTGCTCAGGGCAGGTCCCCAAGCAGAGATGGGAGTCAGCAGCGGCGGGGCCCTAATCAGGCTGCGACCGGGTCACGCCCTTCAGGGGAATCCCCCCGGGGAGGTCTGGCAGGTCAAAGGCCTCGGGGTCCAGTTGAGGGTGGGCAGAGCCTTCCGGAAGCAGTCCCAGGGACAGATGTGGTCGGAGAGGCTGGGAGGCGCTAGAAGAAGGCCCGGCCCTGGGATTAAAGGACCCTTCGGGGAGTAGGCGAGGTCCCAGTCTCCCAGGTGGTAGTGCCAGCGTCGGGGTGGGGCACAGCCTCGTTGGAGAGCTGGGGATGCGGGGCCACCCAGAGGAGCGTTCAGGCCGGGGTCCTCCGCAGGAGCCCCCAGGCGGCGTCCTCTGCGCTGCAGGCCTCCCGACGCCCTCCCTTTGGGGTGCTGTGCCCTGGGCCTGCGGGGCAGGGATGCTGGGGCCCGTGGGCTGCGTCAGCATCCCTGGCAGCAGAACCGGCTTCCTACGGCACGCCTTCCACAGAGTGGCAGAGCCAGTGGGGACGGAGGACAAGGAGCTGCGGCTTGCAAAATGGCTTTGTCTTTCCTGACAGGGTGAACGGGGTCCTCCCGGGGTGAATGGCACTCAAGGCTTCCAGGGCTGCCCCGGCCAGAGAGGAATAAAGGTACCGTGTGGGGGATTCCCCCGGTGCAGTGGGGCCACGGCCCTGGCCTGGTGGGGAGGGGGGGCAGCAGCCCAGGCAGAAGTGGCGGTCCCTTCCGGTGTGCCCTGGGGGAGGGCGGCTGCGGCGGGGGTCCCAGGGCGCAGGCCACGCTGGGAAGGGAGGCGGAGAAGCAGAAGTAGTTTCCTGTGGAGACAGGGAACCGCTGGGAACCCGTCACGAGGACAGACAGGCTGCGGGCCAGGGCGGAGGGCAGGCCAGCGCCCGTGGCTTCAGTGCAGGACCCCGAGAGGAGCCAGGGAGGCGGGGGAGCGAGGGGAGGGCAGAGACCGCTGCGCCCGCGGGTCCTCTGCAGGAAATACTTGGATTCAGGGGCTGATGAGCTGTCTCCGCCACGGGCTAACGTTGGAGAGCGAGTGCGGAAGGACGGGCCACCGTCCTGCACTGTCCCAGGGCGGCCTGGGAGCCCTGTCCCTGGCGTTCCGCCCCCTTCCCTGCCCAGAAAGTCAAAACCACCCAAGGGCTCAGGTCCAGGAAAATCAGCGTTGTCACCCTGCTGTGACGCGAGATAGCAATCCCAACAAATGCGTCTCTCGTAGTGAATCCTCAGCCGGCCTCTGGCGGGGGCGGGGCAGCCCCCGTGCGGTGGCTGCGGGGCCGGCTTCCAGGATGGAGGTAACGTTTCCCTTTCCCTTCCTTTCTAGGGCTCTCGTGGGTTCCCAGGAGAGAAGGTATAAAGCTCGGTTTTCTTTTTATGTTGAAAACTTTGGTGGAATTTCTCACTGCTCCTTCGCCCAAAGGACTCCGACACTCACCCATGTGTCCTGTCCTCTCACAGGGCGAACTAGGGGAAATCGGGCTAGACGGACTCAACGGCGAGGATGTAAGTAAACGCGCGCTCTCAGTCCCGGCCGCCTTGGTCCTGACGATTCCAGCGACCAGCACGCAGTCTCCGGCAGCGACTGTGCCAGGAATGACGTTTTGTCCTTGTCTTTGGCAGGGAGACAAGGGATTGCCTGGTCTTTCTGGAGAGGCAGGAAGTCCCGGGAGAAGGGTAGGTGCACGTCCGCTCTTGCCGTGATGGAAAACATGCCCGCGGTGATTCTTGGGACTGTTACTTTCACTCGTGCGTGTTAACACTGCTTGTTCCGCGCAGCCTCCCCTGGCCTCCCCTGGGGGTGTGTCCTTGGCGCCTCCCTGTCCCCCCGCAGCTGCAGCAGGTGGCATTATAGGGTCTTGTTTGGAGGCTGTGTCCCGTAGTGTAGGGACTGCGTTTGTCTTGTCGTGGATGAACTGTAGCATCTGCATGGAGTAGGCCCCCAACAAATGTCTGTGGGCTCCCTGAGCAAAGCAGAAATACTAGGAAGTAATTTGATCTCCATGGCGAATGAGTAAAGGCTTAACATTGGTCCATTTAAGATTTGTGAACTGAAGAATGCGATTTTAAGGGTGAGACAAAAATGTGCAATTCTCTCAAATGTTTAGTCTCCGCTTGCATTTTGTGTTTAGGGTGACAAAGGCCCTCCAGGAACAAAAGGAGAAAGAGGAGATGTTGGAATTCGAGGCGACTCGGTGAGGAGAATCCCTTATGGACAATTTGAGACCTGAGTCTGCGGGAAGAGAGGGTTGACTGAAAGGGGGAATTTTACTTTTGATGTGGCTTGAAAACATGTTGATAAAACACATGGTTTATCTGTTGCCTTCATTTTGGGGGTGGCTGGCGACATGTGTGCTGCAGAGATACATGATTGCAGGCCTGGGCCTGGGACGACCCGAGAGGTTTCTCTGAAATGTGGTCTTTGGGCGCCTGAATGCAGGCGTGCGGGGCGTCAGGAAAAGTACGCGTGAGGGTGTGGGCGCGAGGCTCCGCAGCCTGTCCCTCCAGACACGCCCCATGCAGACAACATCCCTCCCGCCCTCGCTGGGCCTGACCCTGGGGCTGGCCAGGAACCCTGGGCCGCAGGGAGCGCGGGGCCCGGGCTCCCTCCTGCCTCGTCCCGGCCAGGACAGGCGGCTGGCCCGCTGACGGTCCTTTTCTAACAGGCTTCATGGAGCCAGAGGCAAGAGAGACCACAGCCGCTTTCCTTTCCCCAAAGCAAACTTCCGGTGTCCTTCTCCTGCCTGCGTGGCTCATTCCCCTGACCTGTGTTGTTTTCAGGGTGACCCGGGACGGGACAACCTGCAGAAAGGACCCAAAGGGGAGACCGGAGACGTTGGGCCCATGGTACGATGCTCCGCGTTCCCAGACTCCCCGGGCCGGGAGGACCAAGGAGATAAAGCTCATGCTGGCTCGTCTGCAGCCCAGAGGCCGAGGAGGTGGCCCCCAGGGCTGTGGACATGTGAGGTCGTGGGCAGAGGGTCCCCCGAAGCCGCCGGCGGGCCCCCGTGCAGGAAGCCTCTGCTGGGGAGCAGAAACAGCCTGTCCAAGGGGGGATTCTCAGCGGAACTGGGGCCCCTTAGACATAGGCGGACAGTGCCTGCGAAGACGAGGCCGGTGTGCCTGGGATGGCTCCCCAGTGGGATGCGCCCACACGGGGCCCAGCCGCCCTGGGTGTCGATTCGGTGTCCCCTGGTGTCCTGGGCACTGTCGCCAGCTTAAACTTTCTTCTCTCTACGTGAGAATCTCATGCCGACTTTCTCTCCTGCACCAGGGTCTCCCTGGGAGAGATGGGGTGCCTGGCAGCCCTGGGGAGCCTGGGAAGGACGTGAGTACCTCTGGGGGCTTGGGGGGCTCCGCGTGACGTTAACTCCATTGAGGTCCCAGACACTGAAGGCAGCGGGGTGGGGGGGGGGCGAGGAGCAGTTACTCAGAGACTTCCTGTTAGGGAACTTAAGGGAATTTCTGAAACTACTGTCACCCAAATCTTGCTTCCTAGCTCTCCCATTAGCTCTGTGCTCCGTCTCTTCTTCCTCCCCCAGAACTGTTTCCTTCCCCTCCCGAAAACATGCTGAACAGACGCTTTAAAAAGTCCTACCCTTACCACTTTCGAAAATTTGGCCAGGTTCCATCTCACTACCTCTGTGAAAAATCCAAATGAAAGATGAATCCGGTGGGAGAGAGGGAACGAGGGGCAGGAAGGCCGATGGGGTTGGTCTAGACTTGCTATTGGGCTATTGGGTTTATAACTGTGGCGTGTGCGCGCATGCCTGCGTGAGTGCATGCGTGCGCGTGCGTGCGTGCGCACCTGGAGCTCAAGCAATGAAACGAGATCCCATCTTTCTAGGGAGCGGCATCTCGCAATGGCTTTTAAAGACATTTCAGAAGCGTCAGCTGCAGAATAGCTGCCTGCAGAATAGTACCCTTTTGGGTACGCGTTAGTACCCAAAGCCAGGCACACGGAAGTCGCCGGGCAGCTTCCAGGGCCCAGGGGCGCTCGGAGCTCGGAGCACACGGTCTGTGCGCGGGCAGGAGGGGCCTGGGATTTGTCATCCTCACGGGGCCGTCCCGGATGCTGTGGTGCCCAGGACAGGCCTCTGCTCAGAAACTGGAGGGGCTCTACAGCCCTCTCCCTGGGGACCGCGGCATGTTAGGGGGGCAGGCACTGGATGGGCAGGGAGGGAGCCTGCCGACGGGACATTGCCGATGGCTTTTAGAAGAAATGACTCTCCTTCGTAATCAGGTGACATGCTGAGGGTGTAATTTTGCTTTTAAAATTCAGACGGAAACGTTAATATTCGAAAATGCCCTCCGAAGTGCTGAGTGTTATTTTTGGACAGCAGCGCCGAGCGATAGAATCAGAATCTAGAATGCAGAGGGAGCGACGCGGGGGCCCTGCGACTCAGTGTGTGGGCGGGGCCTAACTTGTTTCCCTGACGTGCAGTCACGCGTTCCATTCGTTTCTATTCAAGGCACACGTGGAAACCTGGGTTTGAATGTGATGCAGCCGAGGGCTCTGTGGCCCCCGTTGCCCCTTTGTAGCCTCCTGCCTCGCGCCCTCGCTGTGCCAGGCTCCCCACTTCTGCCGGGCTCCTTTCCTCTGATTTCACCCCACCAGGCCCAGGCCCCCCCAGCCCCGTCAGGGCCCCCGCAGGCTGCCTGTGGCCCGAGCAATGACTCCATGAGCGCCGGTGACCTCTGGCTGGACTCGAGGCTGTTCCCTTTGGGAGGGGCCAGCCAGCCTGTCACTCTGTGGAGGAATGAATGACCTGGCCCCACCCCCTGGTCCTGTGTCGTCCATGGAAGGAGGCCAAAGTCTTCCCTTAAAGAAGCTGCCACTGCAGCGAATAACAGCCAAATGGTCGCCCCGGAGGCCCCTGGCTGGCCCCCTGGGAGTAAGGTCCTGGTCCTTGGGTTCACGCAGCGGGGGCCAGCCCAGTCGCCACCGGCTGTCCCAGCTTCCGAGTGCCAGCTCCTGACCCTGCGGAGAGGCACCCAGGACGTTCCGCGGCCCCGCCCCAGCCCCTCCCACGGGAGAGGAAACAGCCCCGCGAGGGAGCTAGTGGGCCACTCACGTGGCGAGCCCCCTGTATGTGAAGTGGGGTCACCTCTGGGGCGCAGCAGGGGGCGGTGCCCGGCCGCGGGCGCAGACCGAGTGTTCCTGGGCCGTCAGGCTCCCGCGCGCCCTTGGACGCTTGCTGAACGGCGGGTGTGTCACGTTTGGCAGCAGGACTTGGAGAGCCTGGGGCTCCCTTCGAGTGCATCCCATGACTCTCCCCCCTCCCCCGCCCCCGCAGTCGGGGGGAAGGTAGAGTCCTAGACGGCTGACATTCCCCTTTCACATTCCTCTTTGAAAATTGGCCGGGACAGGGCAGCCAGGAGCCGCTGTTTGGCTTGGCAGGTCTGGGGCGGTTCTCACCGCGTCCATCCGGGTGACGCCCGGGCGGCGCGGAGGGGAACTGGACTGCGATGAGGCGGGGAGGGGGTCGTTCTGGGGGCCTGTCCTCAGGGCGGACAGGGCCTGGCACACACGGGGGGCAGACGAGTGTGAGGCCATGTCACACCAAGTCCCCCGGCTCCCTGCCCTCCCCTCGCCCCTCACTGTGTGACGTCTTCCGCAGGGCGACGCTGGCCGGAGAGGACCAGTGGGAGCTAAGGTAAGCCTCTGAGCGGCGCCTCTCCTCTGTCCCCGCAGTGTGACTTGCCGCGGGCTCTCAGGGACGGCCCTGGTGCCCACCGCCCGCACACGGAGGCCCCCCCCCTTTGCGCTCAAGGCTCGCAGCTCAGTCAGCAGCGGCCTCATCCTGTCCCCTCTGATGTGGCCTCTTCCAGGACTGGTGACGATGATTAAGTGTGGGGACAGGGCGGGGAGGGGAGTGAGGGGAAAAGATCGAAGGGGCGTTCCGCGGCATCCCTGGTCCGCCAGGTACCCGCTTCTCTGGGCATTAGCAAGTCACCGCGTCCCGGTGGCTCAGGCTTCTCCCCTGTGCAGAGCAGATTTGGGTCCCCAGACATCCGTGTTTCCCAGAGCTGTAGCGAAGCAACGAGGAGGCCAGGGTGGGAAACAACTGTAACAGTGCCAAGTGACCGCTGGCGTCATGTGTTAGTTAAATGTGTCATCTTGGACTTACCGGGTCAGTGGCTCCGCGCCCCCTCCAAAGGCCGGGGTCACTGCCTGGTCCCCTCGTCCTGACGTGACCGCGGAGCAGAGAGCTGACTCTGGTGGAAGCCGTCCTGACCCTCCCTCCACGCCCCCCCTTCTTTCTAGGGCAGCCAGGGGGGTCCCGGCCAGGCGGGCTCCGCGGGGGAACCGGGCACCAGAGGTGCACAGGTCAGTACCCGCCTCCCCAGACGCTGTGGCATGTATTTTACATGGAGGTGACGGTCCGCTTTACAGAACGGAACATGGACGAATCATTTAAAGGGAGCAGTGCGGCGGCATCGCGTACCTAGGCCGCCCTGTCTAGTTTCCAGACGTTTTCGTGAGCCCCGGCGCACACCCTGTGCTCCGTACGTTGTCGGTCCTCGCGTCCCCGCCCCAAGCTCCTGGAGACACTCGTTTCCTTCCCGTCTTTCTGGACTTGCCACTCTGGACGTTTCAGAGAAGCCGCGTCATGAGGGAGGTGGCGCTCTGTGTCCGCTTCGCTCCTGCGGCGCCGCGTTTCGGGGGCCCCTGCGCCGTAGGACGTGGCGGGTTTCTCTGCTTCTCACGTCCGGGTAACACTCCGTCGGCAGGGGGACCCTTGGGTGGTTCCTGCCTTTTGGAGATTGTGACTTTTGCTGCTGGGAACATGGCGGGCACGTGGGTTTCGTCAAAGTGACTTCCCGTTTGTGCTCTGGGATGGGCCGCTGTCCCCAAAGCAGAGGCCGGGGTGCGGCCGCAGGGGGCCTCTTGGGCAGCTCGTGGGGGCTCGGGCTCCGTGAACAGCGCAGATCTCAGCCCGGGCTTCCTCCTGGAGCATCACCGCGACGCATGCTGACCTTAGCCTTTCCCCTCAGGGTCCATCTGGCCCCCCGGGCCCCCCGGGCCAGATCGGCGAACAAGGCATCCCTGGACCCCGGGTAAGTTCCTCGCATCCCTCCCCTTGCGTGGCTGTGCCCACAGCACAGGGCCCGAGCGGGTGGAGACTTCGCGGGGGGCGTTGCCGAGGACCCGCCTTCCCCTAGAGCAGCCCTTCGGCGACGCCAACCCTGGGTCAGCCTCCGTGCCTGCCGCCACTCGTGCGAGGACACGAGAGCCCTTCTTCTTGGGGCTCCAGCGGCTTGCAGGTCCAGGGCCACTCCTCCCGAGCCCCAGGTGGCCGGGCTCGGCCCAGGCCGGACACGCCTTGTCCCCGAGGGCTCCGCGTGGAGCTGCGTGAACTCCAACTCTGGCGGAATTCTCAGACCAGGGCAGATTGTCTCGTAATCGAGCCCTGGGGGCTGGCTCTGAGCTTTGCTATTTTGTGTAAGGATTTCCCCGTCCTGAAGGTCACAACGAAGATGGTCGTTAAACCTGCTGTGACCACAGAATCCCCGTCTCGGCTGTGACTGACGAGGAGCGGACGTGTGGCACAGCCGAGCCGGGGGCCAGGTGTCCGCGGTCCCACGTGAGAGTGTGCGGCCACTCAGACCACTTGTTACAGAAAAGAGCAACGACTAGCCCTGGGCGGGGAGCTGGCCTGCTGCCGCCTAAAGGCGCACACGGGCTGTGCGGCGGAAGCGGGGCCCAGTGAGAGCCGTGGCTCACTCAGGAAGTGCTCCCTGAGTTTGAACCCCGATAAAAGCCTGTTTTGAAGCTTTTGTTCCCCCCAACATTTAGTTTAGCTCCGATTAACCAAGAATTTAAGATGGAACAAGAACGGGGCAGAGCTCTTGAAAGGGGGACCAGGAGGAACACCAGGAGCCGCCGCCGCCCGGCTTTGCTGTATTCGTGAGGGGCCGCCCCGGGCCCGCAGGCTGAACCATGGGCTGGGGCGCCGGTCCCCTCGTGCACTCAGTGGGAAGCGTGCGCGGCCTCCGCACCTGCACAGCCGGTGCCACTGGGGATGTGGGCAAGAGCCACGTAAAATCTGGGTGTTGTCCTCTAGTTAGGGACTCGGGGTAAGGGTGGACGTGGGACACTGCGTCGCGGGACGTTCGCGCACACTGGCCTGGGAGTCCTGCTAGGATCCTGGTGGCACAAACTGTGCACGTTTGCCATGGGCTCTGTGGCACCACGTGCGACGCTGAGCCTGCCACTCTGATCTCCGGAGTGTGGGGGACGCGGGAGGGTCGGACACTGGGGCTCAGGGGGCGGACACGTCACTGACACTGCTCTCCTCTCGCCCCAGGGGAGCGGAGGGCCCGCCGGAGCTCCCGGAGAACGCGGCAGAGGCGGTCCCCAGGGGAGAAAGGTTTGTCTTGACGAAGGAGGAGCCTGCGCCCTGAGGCCAGGGACGGCCAGCCCCGGGGGGGCCTGTCCCGCGTTTGCCAGCCTGTCTGCCCGCCTCGCTGGCACATCCTCTCGCCTGCCCTTCGGCCTTTCCCGCCCCAGCCTCCCCTGTCGAGAGCCAGCTTGGCCAGTGGGACCCCCGACCCCTCCCGGAGGGAGCGCATGCTCGTGCCCAGTGGCCTGGCTCTCTCGTAGCCGGGACCCGGCGGCCGCGGCGGCTCCGATCTGCTCACACCTGGCGCATGGCCATGGTTCAGTGTCCTCACCTCAGTCCGAGCAGATCGGGGGCGCCGGGCTCAACATCAGCATCATGCTGAACGCATTGCGTGTGAATGTGAACCAGAAAGGGCAGCGCTTCCTCCGTAAAGGAAGTGTGTTCCTGGGAACCCGGAATTTTCTCTGGGCCCGTTGTTGGTGTGGTTGGGTTTTCCTGCTGCATTCGGCACCCACCGACCCGCTCAGCTTCTCCCCTGCCTCCCCCGCCACCCAGCGTGCCCCCCGCCGTGCTCACGAAGAGAGCAGGCGCCGGCCTCCCGGGGCTCTTTGCCCGGGCTCCACACAGGAGCTGGTGGTCGAAGAAATCATAAGAAAATAAGTCAGGATAACCTAAAAACTGTATGAGCCTCGGGGTCTCAGCCTCGGGGTCTCAGCCTTGTTTCTCACGTGCAGGGTGAACCCGGAGACCCAGGACCAAAGGGAGGCATCGGGAGCCGGGGGCCCCGTGGGGAGATGGTAAGATCACTGCTGGTCGCCGACTCTGCTGAAGGGGAGGCTCAGGACGCAGGGGTCCCGGTCCCTGGGCTGGGCCGGCCTCTCTCGCTGCAGACTAGGTTCCATCCAGGGGGCGGGAACTGGATCCGACCGCTTCTCCTGTCGTTGGGGATGTGATCGAAAGTAGGGAAACCTGCTGCTTATGGTCAGCAAATAAATGTCACGATAAGTTTTGTTTCGGCCTTGGGGGCGGGGCGGGGGCGGGCGCAGTAAGTGGTAAAGGCTTTTTTCCTGTGTGTCCGGGGCGTGCGGGCGTGCTGGCTTATTGCAGCTGGAACCACGTTGTTTCCCGGTCTTACGAGTGCGCTGTCAACGCGGGCCCCCCCCCCACCCCCCCGCCGGTGTCTGCACAGGCGGATGAATGTCCGTGGGTTAGAATCGGGGTGGGGTTGACGGGCCCTCAGTCCGGATTGGAACTGCTTCCTTTGAGTGAGACACCCCCGGAATAGAAGTGATTAGCTTGATAACTCGTTTTTCTTTTTTTATCCTTTTTAAAATTGTTGTTTAAAGTAATCTGACTGCTCACTCACAATACTGTTGTAGGATGTATTCTTATCTAAGAAAAAGAAATCTACAAAACATTGGGAATTAAAAAAAAAATAGGTCAGGATAAGCTAAAAACTATATAAATCGACCAGGTTGATCTGACTTACGACGCTGAAACTTTTAAATGTGTGTGTGTGTGTGTGTGTGTGTGTGTAACTTCTCTACAGTTAACTGAAGTTTAAAAAACATCCATTTCTGTTGCTCTTAGCTTCAGAAACAGAGGGAAAAAGTGTTAAACAGCCTGATTCTGTTTCCGTAAAGTTCTTATTGCTGTTGACACCCACTTAAAACTGTAAACCAACTACGGAGCAGGCGGCCTGTCTGAGATATTAACGTACATTTCACACAAACTCTTCTGCTTCTTTCGAAGTAACCGGGTCCTGTTCCGAAAGCCCGCCCGGGGCAGGGACAGGGGCAGATCTGAGCGTCCCGCGAGGACGCGTGCGGGCAGGAGGCGGTCTAGTGGCATGGCCTGGGAGGGAGGGAAGGCAAGTGGGGGCGCGGAGGCGGCCTGAGCCCCGACCCCTCAGGAGGGGCTGAGAGACTGAGCCCCGTGCTTTCGCTCTGAAGTGGAATCCCAGACTCACAGACGCGCAGGGTCAAAGCGACCTTCCCGAGTCCTTTCACCTCTCAGCTTCCCAGGTTCAGTGAATCTGATTCCACCTGCAGCGCCATCTGCGCCCACCGCTGGCAGTAGTTCTTTCAATTCCTTGTCCACCAGCTCCTTCTGCCAAAGGAGTCTTGTAAGGCCACCCTCCTACAGACTTGGTCTTGTGCAGACGTGGGGGATGGCGTAGGGACAGAGGCACGTCCTGGAGCTGCACCCCGACCTGCGACGTCCCAGGGGCTCCAGGGCCCTCTGCCAGGGCGTCAGACGGAGGCGGGCGCGGTGTGCCCAGCGAGGCGACCTGCAGTAACGCTGTCTTTCCGCGGCAGGGGGAAGACGGCCGAGATGGGATCGGTGACGAAGGGCGCAAAGGCAGGAAAGTACGTACCCTTGTCGGGTGGTGGTTTTACAGAATTGTTTCCAAAACTTTATTGTAATATAGTGAATTTTTTCTCTGGATGACTATAGGGGTGTGTGTGTGTGTGTGTGTGTGTGTGTGTGTATTTCTGCTCAAGAATAATTTATTTTAGGTGAATTTAAATTGAGACCAAATATCTGTCATTTATTTTTCTCTCACAGGGAGAAAGAGGATTCCCCGGATACCCAGGCCCGAAGGTAGAGTCCCCTGGCGGGAAAACGTCACCGCTGTCTGAGGGTGCGCCTGGCGCGCCCACGGGCCACAGACAACATCCTCGCTCTTGGCTTTGGGCCAGGCACTTAGGAACCGAGTGGCCTTGGGGAGCCCCCAGCCCCCACGCTCTCTGTGCCGCTCGCTCCTCTGTCCCACGGAGGTGGCAACAGGCATGTGAGGATGAGATGCAACGACACTGAGATTAAAAACTCTGCTGCTCTCACAGCACCACAGCTACGTGAGGCTGTTGCTGTGGACTCGCTACGCTAAGGCTGCATCTGCCAGAGACGGCGCGCACGAGCAGCCCCAGGGGAAGGCGGATGGCAGCGAGCCGTTTGGCGGCCCGGGGGGTGTGGTCCAGGAGCCCCAGGGCCCCCGGGGCACCTCCTGTTCCAGAGCTTCATGCGCTGCTCGCTGGATCTCTTCCAGGGCATCCCGGGCGAGCCAGGAACAGGGGGATTGCCGGGCCCCAAAGGCATCAGAGGCCGAAGGGTAAGTGAGCCTGCGCCCGGGCTGCCAAGCTGCGTTGGGCGTGAGCACACGTGGGAAGCGGTCGGCCTGGGCGTCTCCCCAGCCCCCTGCCCTCCCCTCTGGCTCTGTGGACACTCTCCTTCCTCACCCGCCACCTGGCCCGTGACAGCTTCGGGTGGAAGGCGAGGACCCCCGAGCCGAAGACCGGTGTTTTCAGATGCCCCATGGTTGTGTCTGTGTTTCCTTCTTTGGGGGCGGCCCTGGGAGCCCCTTCCTCTGACACGTCTCGAGCAAGGGTCACCCGTCCACGGGCCGCTCGCAGCATGGCGCCCAGGGGACTCGGTCCCAGACGAGTTGCATCAGAAGCCTGTGTGGCCCGATGGGGCCTTGCCCATGCGGTGGCGAGTCAGCAGGGCGTCGCGGGGTGCGTGCGTGCTTGCGAGGGTCCGGGCTCCGAGGCCAGCCGGGCTGAGGCTGCATGCTCCCGCCCGCCCTGCCGGGACCCCGCTCCTTTTGGCTGCTTTGGGGTCTGCGTCACTCCCTCCAGACGTTCGCGCATCGTCTTAAGGTTGCGCCGAGTCTTGCATTAGCAAATAGTCTGGATACGGACAAAGGTTTCTAATAGTTTTTTTTTTTAGCTGAAACTATAGTTTAACTCACCGTAACTGTCCTGTTGCTTTGCTCAGCAAAGACAGTCAAATTCCATCAGTCACCACGTGAGACGGGGTTTGAAAACATCGGGTTGGTTGTCTGCGCCACAGAGCGGTCTGACTGGTGGTCAGTTACTGATCTCTCGGGCATTCGGGGACAGTCTCATCAGTGGGTCACAGGCAAGCACCTGTCCTACCTAGACCTGCCAGAGAACACCCACCAGTGCTGTGAAAGCCTCTTGTCCTTACATGTGAATCTGGAGACACGAGAACCCTCGAAAGAGAGGGCTTTTGGGCAGGGACAGGGGACAAGGCATTACGCCACCTTCGCCGCCCTTTCCAGCTGGGGCAGTTGCGGATTTCCCTTCTTCTGACACAGCTGAGCATTGCTGGCTCTGCCCCTTGCAGGGAAATTCGGGACCTCCAGGGGCGATTGGACAGAAGGGAGACCCCGGTTACCCAGGACCATCTGTAAGTACCTACCCCTTCCGATCAAGTGGCCTGCGGGCTGGATGCCTTACACCCGGACCCCAAACAATCCCCCATCCCCATTCCACAAAGACGGTGCACTGCACTCTTGCTGCTATCGCTGTGCGGGTGTTTTTCTACCACTTTCCTTCCAATACCACCGTGGGGGGAAGAGCTCCCCGGCATGCGGCGTCCCGCACCTGGGGCTTGTTGCAACCTGCTTCTTCGACTTCCTGGTGCGGTTTCCTAGTTCGAGGCTCCCGTAGAGGACAGACCGACAAAAGACAATGCAGAGAAACGCCTCTTGCGGGCGGGCTCTCGTTGTGTCAGACCTCAGTTTGGGGGAACCCTTCCTTTGGTCTGTAAACCCCGACCCCCAGCGCACTCCCGGTTGATGATTCACAGTGGGAGCCCATTCGTTACCTGGCTGCCGGAGCCAGGGGGGCGCCCCAACCTCCCCAGCACTAGGCTCTCTGTCTCCTTGCTTGAATATCCCCCCGTACTGTCTCCCCACGTTGAAACCGATGAGGTTCGCCGCAGAGTGAAAACTTACCAATGGGAAGCCACCTGGGAAAAGGTGAAGGGGCGAGACGGGACGGGCCCGTGTGGCGTTCAAGCGAGCGGGGCATATCATGGGAGGTCCCCGTCGCCGTGGCAGGGAGGCTCCCTCCCCGAGCAGAATCCGCCGGCATCCTTCCTTCCTGGAGGGACGGGCACTAGGCGACTTCGCCCTGTCCTCCTGGGAACGGGGCAGGTGAACTAGCAGACGCGAGGGGAGAGTCGCGTGGGACGCGGGCTCCGACGTGTGGGTTCGTGATGAGCGTCCGGTGTTTTGGGTGCGGAGCGTTTCTCCTCACGGGGAACCCCGTGTTGTCCTCAAAGTCTTCCCTCCATTGCTCTTTGGGCGGTCAAGCCGCATTCATAGGGAGAGGCTGAACGTGGCCCGGGGCAGCTGCCGCCGGGCTGAGCCTGTCCCTCCGGCCCCGTGTCTCACACATCAGCCTCTCCTTCCTTGTTTTCCAGGGACCCAAAGGCAACAGAGGCGACTCGATCGATGTAAGTTGCGTGCGTGCAGCCTGAGCCAGCGCCCGTGGGTCTTTTGTCTGCTCTCCTTACACCTTCTTTCTTTCCTTTTAAAGAAATGCGCCCTTGTCCAGAGCATCAAAGACAAATGCCGTGAGTACAGGACCTTCTCTGTCAGCAGCCCCGTTCATTTGCACACATGTGTGCCTCCCACGGTGGGTGTGACCGTCCCTCTTCTCTGTTCCCTCTCTAGCCTGCTGCTACGGTAAGTCGGCTTCCGCGGCGCGACTCCCTCCTGAGGAGCGAGGACCCCCTTCCGTGAGTGAGGCCCGTCTCTGACACCCCCCGCTCCCCAGGGCCCCTGGAATGCCCCGTCTTCCCGACCGAGCTGGCCTTTGCTCTGGACACCTCGGAGGGGGTCACCCAGGACGCGTTCAGCCGGATGCGGGACGTGCTGCTGAGGGCTGTGGGCGATCTGACCATCGCGGAGAGCAACTGTCCACGGGGGGCGCGCGTGGCCGTGGTCACCTACAACAATGAGGTGACCACGGAGATCCGCTTTGCCGACTCCAAGAAGAAGTCCGTACTCCTGGACAGGATCAGGAACCTCCAGGTGGCTCTGACGTCCAAGCAGCAGAGCCTGGAGACCGCCATGTCGTTCGTGGCCAGAAACACGTTTAAGCGCATGAGGAATGGGCCCCTGATGAGGAGAGTGGCCGTCTTCTTCAGCAACAAGCCCGCACGGGCGTCCCCGCAGCTCAGGGAGGCGGTGCTGAAGCTGTGGGACGCGGACATCACGCCCCTGTTCCTCACCAGCCAGGAGGACCGGCAGCTGGCCAACGCTCTGCAGGTCTGTGCCGGGGGCGCCGGCGGCCCTCCCGCTTCTCCCCGGGCTCGGGGGGGGGGGGCTCCCAGGCGTGCCTGCGCCCTCCAGGGTGTCCCCATGACCCATGGTTTCTAGAAGGCCCTGGAGGAGGCCGGTCTGACTGAGAACGCCCCACCGGGGTTTCCAGGACAGCTTCTGGCTCCGGTCCTGGATCCAAGGCCCCCCATCCCAGGCTGGAAGCGGGCCTCCCTGGGTGCCCCGGGAGGGCTGCCAGCTCCCGGCTGCCAGCTCCCAAACAGCGGGGACTCCGGGTCCCCAGGGTGCCGCACTGCTCACCCCTCGCCTCAGCCAGGCTGGCACCCGAGATCAGCCTGTGATGCAGACAAGCGCTGCCTTGCTGTTGCTTAAACAACGTGTTTCATTGTTATACTTAATCGGTTCATATGGAGTCGGCCTGAATTCCGGGCACACGGCTCGAGGGGAGTGGGTGACAGGCGTGAACCCAGGCCGGGGCCCGGGGTGGGGGAGGCCGGGGCCAGCTGTCCCCGTCCCCACCACCTGGCTGTCCGGCTCATTCCCTCGCCTCCCCGTGGCTTAGACGTCTCAGCTGCAAAAGACGAGACGAGGTTGGGGCGGGCTCCATGCTTCTCCTTCCGTACCGGATACCCCGCGGGCTTCCCACTGCCCACATCAGTGGGGGGCAGCCGGGGCGCTGCCGCCAATCCTCGGGGTTTATTCTAATAGCCCAGCCGCCGGCAGGCAGAGTGCAGAGCGCTGGGCCACCGGCCGCACGCCCTGTCGGGGGCACACAGTGGACTGAGAGACGCAGACCCACCTGTGCGTCTTACCGGCGGCAGTTTCAGCACGTTTGGGAAGGGGATGATTCATTCGTTCGTGGAATTTCATTACTCACTAAATAAACAGCGAGTGATGGTGTGCTGGCGTGGGCAGGGGTTTCAAATGTTCTGGAAATGACTTAATAGCTTGCTTTGTCATTAAATCCCTTTCTAGACCCAGGAGAGGGAGAAAGGAATGGCGTTCATTGCTGAAAATAGCGATATTATTTAAACCCCTGCTGTCTGGTAGAGGCTCTAGCAGACACTTTGCATGGGCTATCTAACTTAATCCTTCAGATAACTTGTTGAGAATGTACCATTCTCCCCTTTGACAGCTGGGGAAACTGAACCCTGGAGAGGAGACATAATTTTGCTTCGGATCCAGCAGGAAGGGCCGGGGGGATTTGAACTGCGGCTCGCCCCCGCAGAGGAAAGCCCACGTTTTCCTGTTACACTCAGCGCCTCCTCTGACCCTCCCTCTAAAAAACGAGAAGCTGTTGATCTGCTGGGCAGTTGGTGTTATTGGTGTGGCTTAATTCAGTCTATTTTGCAAGTAGCTGCAGATCACGAATGTTCCTCCCAAGCATTTCGTTTTGTTTGAACAGGTCAATAACACCAAAGTGGGGCACGCGCTTGTGCTGCCTGCCAGGGGGGACCTCACGAACTTCCTCAAGAACGTCCTGACCTGCCACATTTGCCTGGGTAAGGGGTTCCTGCAGCGCGCACATCCGTCCGGCTGCGGCCGCAGAGCGTGCCGTCCACGGACGGACGCCTGGGGGAACCGTCGTCCCCTATGAAATGGGCACGCGTCGGCTGAGTCACGGAGCCTGGTATTTGCCGGTGTGGACGCTATGTAGGAGTTTATGTATTTACAGTAGAGCCCCCAAACGGAACTTGTCTGAGGGAAGGAATGACTCGCTTATAGGTAATAAAGGAGGAAGCAGATGCTGCTTACATCTTGAGGTTGGAACCCAGATTTTAGGATCTGGCTTTGGGACTTTCTAGAGCACATTTCTTCAAAGAGTGGCAAAAAAGTGGGGGCCCTTCCTTCCCCTCCCCTCCCCTTCCCCCTCCCCTCCTTTCCCCTCCCTTTTCCTTTTTCTTCCCCATTTCTTCCTTCCCTCCCTCCCTCTCTAACACCAGTGCCACGGCGCACTAACAGATTTTGGCTGACTGGCTGGGTTACGGAGTCAGCGTTCCGTGGTGAAGTCGGAAGTGCAGCCACCATGGTGGGCGCGGCGAACCGGCGCCTGAGCCCTCGGGCGGCTTCGGCCACCCGGGCTCCCTGCGGCCTGAGGCTCTGTGTCTCGCGGCGGGAGCCCCACACAAACGGGCCCCTGCACTTCCTTCTAGACATCTGCAACATCGACCCGTCCTGCGACTTGGGCAGCTGGAGGCCGGCCTTCAGGGATAGGCGGGCGGCAGGCAGCGACGTGGACATGGACGTGGCGTTCCTCGTAGACAGCGCCGAGCCCACCACTCTGTCCCAGTTCAACGAGATGAAGAAGTACATCGGGCACCTGGTCCGGCAGCTGGACCTGAGCCCTGACCCCCGGGCCTCCCAGCACTTCGCCCGGGTGGCGGTGGTGCAGCTCGCGTCCCACGAGTCCGCGGGCCACGCCAGCGTGGCCCCCGTGAAGGTGGCCATCTCCCTGACTGACTACGGCTCCAAGGACAAGCTACTGGACGCCCTGGGCGCCAGGGTGACGCAGCTGCAGGGGACCCAGGCCTTGGGCCCCGCCATCGACTACACCGTACAGCACGTCTTTGAAAGCGCGCCCCACCCGCGGGACCTCAAAGTCCTGGTCCTGATGCTGACGGGCGCGGTGCAGGGGCAGCAGCTGCTGGAGGCCCAGAGAGCCGTCCTGCGGGCCAAGTGCCAGGGCTACTTCTTCGTGATCCTGGGCGTTGGCGAGAAGGTCAACGTCAAGGAGGTGTACAGCTTCGCCAGCGAGCCGAACGACGTCTTCTTCAAACTGGTGGCGAAGCACGCGGAGCTCAGCGAGGAGCCCCTCCTGCGCTTCGGGAGGCTGCTGCCGTCCTTCATCAGCAGTAAGTCCTGCGTCAGGCCTCGGGGTCCCCGGGGGCGGCTCTGCCAGGCCGCACCCTCGGGCTCTTGGGCGGGGGACACAGGCGTGGGAAAGGCCCCTCACGCGAAGATGCCGACTTGCTCATTCATTCGACAGGTAGGTGTCAACACCCACCGGGCCCCGGGCACGCCTTCAGCTGCCGGGGTGGCAGCGAACGCAGGCAGGGACCCTGCCATGTTCACTTGCTTATTGATCCAAATGGGACTGGGCTCCTCCCGGCATATGGGCAGGGTCCCTGAGGATGCGTAGTCCGGGCAGGCAGATGGGTCATGCATGATGTAATATGCTGGCATGTCACAGACGTGTTTCCTGGTGCGGCATCGTGGAAGCTTCTAGAAGGAGTTGCATGGCTCAGCCGCCAGCCTCACACCCGGAAACCTCTGGGTCCTCGCCGGCGTGGCTCCACAGCACGCTCTCCACTTCTGCTTTGGCAGCGAGCCCACGTTCGCCCCCAACTCTTAACTGCGGTCACCTCGCGCGCCACGGATGCTCCCTGGCCCCCGGCGGGCCTGTCAGTAGCCCGGGTGCTGTGCTTGCCGCGTCTGTGACGTGGCCCGTGGCTCATCCGTCAAGGCCTGTGGGCCGAGCGGGCTGCGTGGTCCTAGAGAAAGGGTGTCCCTGACCCCTGCGCAGCCCCGAGCCTGGCCCCGCGCTAGGCCTGGAGTTGTCACAGGAAGGCATTTAACACATGGGAGAGCGTATGAAGCATGAGTCAACACGCATGTATGGGCAGCTTCTTATGCAGGGGAAGGTCAGCGCCGTGCAAACGACGTGCGCACGGGGAAGCCCGCGCCCCGAACGTTTTAGGGCAGAAAATGGGGAACGAAGGTCAGGCAGCAGCTTCCCCAGGGCCCTTGTCCCTGCTTTCAGAAGACCTAGGACAAGCACAGCACTGGGAAAATACTAAGAGTAATTTGATTATCATCGGATGTTCAAGAGCTTGGAGGGTGCTAAACTCTGCTCCTGAGTTTTCTTTCATTCCTACCTTCCCATTCCCGCTGAGTAAATATTATCTTTAACCGAATTGCGCAAATATTGCCAAAGAGGAGATATTGGCTTGAAATGTTTTATGGATCAAGTACTTAATGTTTAAAATTACTGGACTTAGCTTGTCTACAAGAATTAACTATTTAACAAATATTTACAGACCACCTACTATGCGATTCATTTAATCCGTGAGCAGATTAATTTTAATTTGCAAGGGATTCACATACACTTAAAATGTATATATTTTTCTATTTCTTTCTAGGTGAAAATGCGTTTTACTTGTCCCCAGACATGAGGAAACAGTGTGATTGGTTCCAAGGGGACCAGCCGGCAAAGAATCCCATGAAATTTGGTCACAAGCAAGTGTAAGTGATTATAACAATTGTCCCCCAAATTCCAGGGCTGGAGGGGACGCCAGTGCCTGACCTTACGGGGTGAGGGCTTGAACTGCAGAACATGTGACCTCCCAAAGGTCACATGAGACGTTCTTTTAGAAGAACCTGTTGTATCCACTGTTCGTTGTGTAACAAATGACCCCAAACGTAGCGCCTTAAAACGACTGTTTGTTTAATTTGCAATCCTGTAGGTGGGCAGCCTTTGCTGGGGCCCCACCGGGGCCCACTGGGCTCCCTTCAGCCGCTCGTCCGCGGCGGGCGGGCGGCCAGGACGCCCTCCGCCGACGGCCCACCTCTGCCCCGCGTGGCCCCTCACCCTCGGTAGGCGAGCCTGGCTGCGCCCGCTGGTGGCCCGGCGGGGCTCCCTGAGAAGGCAGGCGGAGGCGGCAAGGCCTCTTGGGGCCTAGGCCAGGACCGGCCCGCTGTGACCTCCGCCCCTGCTGTCGGTCAGAGCATGTCCCAAGGCCAGCCTAGCGAGAGTCAAGGGAGCCGCCCTTGGCGGGCGGACCTGTCACATCACACGAGGGCATGGGGACGGTGAGGCCCTCTGTCCAAAACGTCTGCCATCCCTGAGGTGACATGATTTCATATAGAGGATTGGATGCGTTCAGCAAAAAGTGGACTCCACATCTTCCTAAAAGAAGCAACGCTGCAACCGCGCAGGGGACGGTGGTAGCACACGCGGCCACGTGCCTGTCCGGCCCGGGGGACTCGTGAGAGGGAGGCAGGGACTGCGGTGCCCACGGTGGCGCCGGCGCCCTGGCGCGTGCTCAGTGGCCGCGTGCCAGGCTGCATGTGTGGTGTCCACTCCGCTGCGGGCGGGACAGCAGCGTGGCCGTGTGACAGAGAGCCAGGCGAGGGGCGAGGTGGCAGGAACAGGGAGCGGGCCACGCGCCGTCAGTCTGCGCCCCTCTAGAGGGTGCCAGGGCGCGCCCTGCGGGGGGCGGTGAGGGTTCTGCCTGTGGCCCTAAGGTGACGGGCGGGTGGCAGTCATCCTTGGAAAGTAACAGTGTGACTCCCTCCCGGCCGACCTCCGGGGCGGGGGCGGCGCCATCTCTTCCTCCCACACGCCCTCCTCGCCCACCCCCCGGGAAGCCCTTCAGCTCTGGCCTTCGTCTTCTGCGTGGGCGCCCCAGGCCTCAGCCTCGCCGGCGGAGGACCGCTCCGGGGGCAGCGTGGCCCTTTTCCGGCCGCGACGCCAGTCCCAGCCCCTCTTCTCTGGCCCTGAATTATCTTTGTAATTCCTCTAGAACATTCCCTAAAGTTGGCGCCGCCCGACCTAGGAAGACAGGATAACCAAACCTCGTGTCTGGATTTGTAGGCTAGCAACTTGAAAATACGCTGCGTCCGACACGTAGCATGGTAGAGCTACAGAATAACCCATGTTCATGTGAGGGCACAAATGAACAAGGGCTGGGCCTGTGCCCTTGCAAAGAAATTGTAAACAAAAATACCCCAAACCCCTAAAACAAAACCACACACACAAAAATGAACACAAACAAAAATATACCGTGCGCCCCAGGAGCGAAAGTGCAGACTGACTTTGCACTTTAGCAGCTCAACACAGCATTTCGCTGCGGGGACCCTTTCTTTCCATGAGAGTTGTCCTTAACTGAAGGTTCTCGTTAACCATAAGAATAATGGTCATCATTTCAGTATTTATTGTCTCTGTGCCCTCTCTGCTTTTATTTTATAACTGAAGATAAGGCGTCAGATGTATTTCTAGTGTGGCATCAGCTTCATTTCAAAGATCCTATTATTGTTGATGCTGTTTAATGTACTTCCTGCAGCACAGAGGCTGTGACGAAGGAACGCAGTGCACGCAGCACCACGTGCGATACATAAAAACTGCGGCGTGCATTTTGCAAAGACAGCAGATTCTGCCAAGTTCATTAGGCCGCGCGTTTGTCCGTCTGAGATGGCGGGCAAAAACAGAGATGGGCTGGAGCCATATTTAATTTGTTTTAACAGAAACACTCCGAATAACGTTACGTCAAGTCCTACATCCAAAACAGTGATCGCCGCAAAGCCGGCAGCGGCCGGCACCAGCAAACCCGCGGCCGCAGCAAACCTGCCCGCTTCGAAGCCGGCCGCCCCGAGACCCGCGCCGGCAAGGCCCGCGCCCGCCAGGCCCGAGGCCCCAAAGACGGCCACGGCCAGACCCCCCGTGGCCGCGAAGCCCGTCGCCGCGGTGAAGCCAGCGCCTGCAAGACCCCCCACCGCTGCCAGGCTGGCCCCCGCCAAGCCCGAGGCCCCCAAGTCCCCAGCAGCCAGGACGGCCGCCGCCAAGCCCGTGGGTAAGAAAGCGGCCGCCAGGGCTGCTGCCTTGTGACATCCTTGTTTGTTGTGGCCCGGGTGTCTCTCCAAGCCGGTGTCTGAGGCAACAGACTTAGTCATTGGTCTGGGATGCAGAGCTCTGGACGGTTTGGGCGTCTGAAAGGTGCGGTTCAGAGCAGAGACTTGTCAAAGCGCCACCTTTTCTCTACGTGAGGAAGCGGCCTGTCTCTTCCCCCATGGGAGGCCGGCGAGCTGGGGACGAAGAGGGGGCGAGAGGGTCCCTCCCCTCCCCCACTCCCCACCCGAGCCCCGCTCCCCATATTTGCTCTGGGACGTCCACGGGCGGGCGCGACCCTTCTCTCCTGGGGACCCAGGGTCATGAGTGAAAGGGACGAGTTCTAAGTAGGAGCAGGGTTCTAGCCCCGCTGTGGGCAGGGAGAGGGGTAGGAAAGGCTTGTTGGCGCCTGGGCCACGGGCCCTGCTCGGGTTGCGGGGCTGGACCCGCCTCGCTTAGGGTGTGACTGCAGGCGTTCGGTCCGGACGGGGCCTTGTCGTTGCAGCCTTTGTCCGGCTAGAAGCGCGAGGAAAAGAGGCCCCACGCGGCGCGCTGCGGCGATGCCTTATGCCAGTCCCCGCAGGCCGGTCCACGTGCCGGCCCCGCCCGAGGGGAAACAGGCTCCAGGCGGAGTTAGAGCCCAGGGCTGGGTGGCTTCGTGAGATGCGTTAGTTCAGACTTCCCTCAAAGCAGGTGCTGGGAGGTGCTAGGGAAGGTGAAGGCAGAGGCTCCTTTAAAAGAATTTCATGTCACGTCCTAACGTGTCGTGACTTAATATATTTTAAGTTACGGGGCTCACTCTGTATTGAACACTTCGCTGGAGATTAGCACACCCGACCGTGGATTTTCCAAGTATCTCCTTCATAAGGGAGATTTTCGGGAGGAAAAAGAGCGCGTTGTGTCTCCTTTTTCCTCCCGAGGGATGAGTAACAGGAGCTCTAATCACCGTGCCTCATTTCACATGCCATCCGCCCGGGCCGGTAGGTAGAAGGCCCACATTCCCTGGGAACTCGAGCAAGGACCGGTCCCCGGCTTCCCCTGAGCTTTCCCTCAGCTGCCCACGGACGCCGCCTCTCAGCTCTCCCCTCCCGCCAGCCTGTCTCAGTCATGTGGGGTTCTGCTTTTCGCCCCACGCAGCGCTTTGATCTCTCTTCCAGCCAAGGCCCCCCGAGAAGTGCAGGTGTCCGAGATCACCGAGACCAGCGCCAGGCTCCACTGGGAGGGGCCGGAGCCCCCCAGCCCTTATTTTTACGACCTCACCGTCACCTCAGCCCACGACCAGTCCCTGGTTCTGAAGCAGAACCTCACGGCCACGGACCGCATCCTGGGGGGCCTGCAGGCCGGGCAGACGTACCACGTGACGGTGGTCTGCTACCTGAGGTCGCAGGTCCGGGCCACCTACCGCGGAACTTTCAATACAAGTGAGTACATGGTCTGTTTAAGTAAAAGGTCCATGGAATAGTGACAGGACATAGAGGGAACTCTTCTTCGTTGTCGTCTTTTTATTCCTCACCTGGGGACATGCTTATTGATTTTAGAGAGAGAGGAAGGGAGGGCAAGAGAGGGAGAGAAACATCCATGTGAGAGAGAAACGCAACCGAACCCACAACCCAGGCGTGTGCCCTGACTGGGAGTCGAACCTGCGACCTTTCGGTTTACAGGTAGACGCTCCGACCAACGGAGCCACAGCAGCCAGGGCCAGAGGGGACAGTTCCCACTCACCAAATCGGTTCTGAAATACCAAGGTTAAAACAAAACCCCGGGCGTTTTAGTTGTACCCAACTTCACAAGTGAACCAAAGGGAGGACAGGGTTCCCCATGAACTGTCGCCCTCCCTTTGGGCCCTGGGGCCACTTCACGGAGGAAACCAGATCCATTGGCCCGGGTGCTGCCCTGGCCCCCAGGGAGGAAGTAAGCCCCCTGGAACCCGGCCGGGGCGCAGCGCCCCCACCCCGTTCAGCAGGCAGAGCGCGCGCCGAGAGCCGCTGGCTCCTTTGGGAGCAGCCGCAGTGCCCACGAGTCTCATCGCTGCCCTGGTGCCACGGGGCACCCATGGCCGTGCAGAAAGTGCCTCAGACTCTCCCTCCCCGCCCCCGGGCTCGGGCCCTGGCCTCGGCCCTGGCCCTCGGCCCTCGGCTGTTCTCCCGGCTCCTCTGCGACGCCCATGCCCGGCCCCGCGCGCCTCCCAGCCTCGCTTAGGATGCCCGTGCCTCTGCTCCTTTCTAAGTTTCCCTGACCCTCCCCTGTTCCTCTTGAGCCCCTTCCCTGGGGTGTGGAGGGGGAGGCTCACATTCTTGGCTCCCTGGGCCAGGCCGTTCAGATGCAGGAACTGGGCCTGAGGAAAGGAAATCCCTGAGGCTCCATGTAATCCGCGCAGACAAGGGTCCAAAGAACCTTCAGCCCCCAGGACTTGGCTTCATGGTGGGGAACAGGGGAGGTCCCGTGGGAAAAGGGGAAGGTCTGTGCCCCGCCCGGAGGTTTGCCCGCTTGCCCTGTGAGGCGCGTTGACCTAGCAGATAGCAGGTGCAGGGGGTGTACGCGGAGGCCTCTCGCGCCCCTGCGACCACGGCCCCCCCCTTATCTAAGGCTTGATCAGTGGGGAGAGCTTGCCTCGTCCCCAGGGTTCCCGGCCCTTCCGTTTCCCAGTTACCTTCTCGCTGCACGTATGTTTCTTTTATAGAGAAAACTCAGTCTCCACCTCCGCAACCCGCAAGATTGCCTGCCAGTTCAACCGTCAACCTCATGGTGAGCACGGAGCCGCTGGCCGGAAGTGAAGGAGGTGAGTGGCGAGAGCGTGAGGGCCGTTAGCGGCCCAGCCTGGCTGCGGCTCGGACCCCAGGGCCGGCGCGGCTCTGCGGCAGGCTCCAGTCGCGCCGGCCGCTCCCAGGCTGCGTGCTCCGAGCTGTGCCTGCTGGCCGACCTCCCCCGGGCGCTGTGGCCGGGAACCTGCGTCTCGCCTGTCAGTTCTCCTCACGTCAGGACTGGCGTGGGTGCCTGTCATCTGCTGTGAAGACAGGGCGTCGCCCACTTGGAAATCCGATCTCATGGAAACCGCTCCGAAGGACGCGAGGCCACCCAGATGGGGACCCAGGGGGGACGCGGGGTTGGACGGGACCTGTGGCGTGCCCGCTCTGGTCCCGGTTCTCTGAGCCCACCTGCGACGCGGTCTGTTCCACCACCCACTTGGGCCTGAGCAGGCCAGTGCTCGGTTTACCTTTAGCCGGGGACCAGTGGGACGTGTTTCTGGACTGACTGCCGTGAACCCTCGTCCCGCGGGTGTGAGCTCGGGCCGCTCACCCGCGGGGAGCTGATGTGAGCGACGGCCGGTGGGCTTTGTTTGAGAGGGTTCTGCCAACGATATTGGCGCTGATATCCGAAGTCCAAATTCCATGGGCGTTTAGACAGGTCGTTGTTTTATAGATGCCCTAGCACAAGGTGTCGCCTACGTGTGGGGACAGCTCATTAGCTCCGGGGGAGCTGGCCGCCTGCGGGAGCGGGGCGGGAGAGGCGTGCTACTCTCTGCAGTGCTTCTTCCTGCGCTTGGCTGGGACGCAGGCACGGCTGGGGCCCGCGGCTTTCGTCTGTGCTGGGCTGAGCCACAGCCGCGCCTCCTCCGTGCGGCGTGGGGCGTGCGGCGCCAGCGGCCGAAACACGTTGTTTTTTGCGTTACCCCGAGGCTCCTCGCCGTGCTCTTTTGAAGACGTTATTCTGTTTTTCCATCGCACCCTTTCTGTAGAGTCTGCACCCTGTCTCGTCTGCGTTTAAAGAATATTAGACGGTTTCTGACTCCACACTTGGGAGTAGAGGCCCCTCGATCCTGTTAGTTGTTTCTAGGGGCCCTCTCCTCTGTCACTAGGATAGTCCATCAACGGGCTTTCCCTCTGCCCACGGGTACGTGTCTCTGTCTGTGTCTGTGACCCATATCTAGATCTACAGTCACGGCGACGCCTGTCCGTCTACATTTCCCTGTCTGTCCTCGTCCCTCAGTACAGGTGCCGCCCGCACTGACCCGTAGCCTCAGGCATCATAAGAAGGAAGGGAACCGAGACAGCGCAGCCGTGGGGAAGCTGTGCGGCACGCAGAGGTATCGCAGGGTAGATAACTGAGCTGCGTCTCCGACCGAGCACTGGTCACGTCGTTTGCCTGTGGAAACAAGTTTCAGAATTGGTCTGGGTGAGAGAGAGCCCGTATTTTTCAAACCCCTCCGCTTACTAATGGGCAGATCAACAGAAAAACAAGAAGTTGTGTCCTTCTGATGTAAGTTTACGGGTGCGACGCAGGAGCTCACGGCAGCTTTTGTGCAGTCTGTCCCGTGTACAGTCCCTTCGCAGGAGCACGGAGTGCGGGGCGGAGGGGACAAGAGAACCGAAGCCCTAGCCCCTTTTGTTTCTGCTCAAGAGCCGTTTTCTGGGTCCAGCAAAAGCCTTTGTTGCCCGCACTGGGTCCTGGGGCTCCTACCCATCCCCCCGGTCCCCTTTGGAGTCACCTCCATTGGGCGTCCCAACCAGGAGCTTGAGCTGGGAGAAGCCACAAAGAACTCACAGGAATTTCCCAAAGACACGGATCAGGGCGGATGAACTGATAGCTTCTGCGTCACTGAAACCTCTGTCTGCTGTCTCGCACTCGCGGGTAACCTCACCCCTGGAAGGGGAGGTGAAATGTGAAATTTCCAGCCAAGTCAGGGCCTGTGCGAGGGGACGTGCGAGGAACACACAGTGCAGCACGTCTGGGATACCTTTGGCCTCCTACGTGTGGTCCGAAGGGACAAGAATCTATAAACAGTGTTTAGTTAACATAAACAGCACAGTCTTTAAACAGGAATCTGGCTGGGCTGGTCTTTTTTTTTTCTTTTTTTTCCCTTTTAAGACCGAGTCCCAGATTCAGAAGGAGGGAGCTGTTTTAAATCCAGACTGTTGTCGCTTTGGTCTCCTCTTGGCATGTGACAGAAAGGAAGTTTTTGAAACGGGGGCAGTGCGTCCTTCAAGTCTCGGGGAGTTGGTCGGACATGTCAGAGCCTTGCCCCTCATTCTGACGAGTGTGTGGCCCTCAGACACAGGGCTCGAATGCTCGGTCCCCATCTCGCGTGTAAGCGTTCCCCGCCAAGTGACCCCGGTCAGTGTGAAGACCCGGGGCCTGCGTCGGGCCTGCGTCTCACCTGCGCTCAGGGCCCGTGCCGTGGACCCACACGGTCACAAAGCTGCACTTTGCCTGGAGGAGACGCTCAGTGCACATTTGCTCGCTTAGTGCACATTTGCTCGTGGACCAACTGTCGGAGCACATGCACACTTGCGCCATTTTTGAGAGCTCTCTCGGGTTGAAATTAATTATGTGTTTACACTGCAACATTAAAAACTCAAAATGGGTAAACAGAATTAGGAAACGAAAGCTCCTCTTCCCTGCTCCCCCCACCGCCTCCCCCCCCTTCAATAACGAAGTTGTCGTAGACACGTTCCCCGGGGGCAAACGTTGGAATGAAGCCTGTATTTTTGAAGATCACAAAAGGAACAATGTATCCATGGATTAAGTAACTTCTAAAAACTATAGTAACTGTATTCTTGGAGCCCCTCAGTGCTCAGACTGTAGAGGCAGGGACGTGCTTTCATTCAGAAATATTGTACCTGCTTCTGAGGCTTGAGGCCCCGGCCCCCAATAGGCCGCGGTGGCCGGCCTCCTGGGGTGCGCGGGCGCCGAGCCCCTCGGGGGCAGGGGGTGGTGCTCTGTGCGACCGTATTCAGTCGCGGCGGAAACCCCGTCCACTGCCCCCGCCCAATTGCTCAAGGAAGCAGAGGCACACTGAGGGTTTGCTGCTCAGGAAAACGTCCACGCGAGGGCCTTTAACAATGCTGCTTTTAGGCACTATTAGAAATCTCAACGTACAAAAAAGGCATGATTTTCCAACTCAACATATTTTTTGTTCCCAAGAGTAACATCTTTTCACTCTTAGTAAAAAGTAAAATAATGGCTACGTATGGTGAAGATGCACAGGAAAGCGCATGGAACGATGGCTCCCGCAGTCGCCGCGCCGAAGATCGCCCGTGAGCGGTACTCACGACCCAGGCACCTGCTTTGGGCTTGTTCCGTGAACGTCCCACGCAGGTGCACGCATGCGCACACATCTTTCTTACAGACGTGGACGAGTTTCCAGGGTGGCCTCCGCCCCGTGGTGGCTGTCCTGGGGCGTCCCCAGTTGCCTCTTGGCTGCGGTGACCAGATGGGGCTCCTGGACAGGGTTTCCCCGGACATTCCTCTTGCACCCACGTCCTCGCATGCGTGGACGCTCACCGGAGCCCCGCAGCCGACCCCTCCCTGCCTCAGCGGAAGGCGATCCCATCCGAATCAGGCAGCCCTGCAGGCGTTTCCTTTCAAATGTCGTTGTTGTCGGAGGTTGTTGCCCGCATTGTCTTTTCGGCTCCCACTGGGTTCTCGGGAGAAGGCGGAGAAGATGGGTGGACGAGCAGCCAGACCCGCTGCTCAGACCCAGGCAGGGGCTGCCGCTCCCTGCAGGTCCGTGCAGGAGGGAAACAGGGACGCTGTCGTGTCCCGAGGCTTGTGCCCGGGGAGCTCCGTGAGGGCCGGCCATCACCCCTCTTGGGGCACCGAGACATTTTAATTTACCTGTTGTCTTTAAAGGGTCATGTTGGCACGTGCAGACATAGCTCGGGCTTCCTGAGAACATGAAACCTCCCAGTTTTCTGCTTAAAAAACGGAGAATCCCGGGGTTTTGTCTTGGCAGGGGAACGCGTTTTCCCTCATTACTTGATTTCTCTTGGTTTCCTGAACACCTGTGCGCCTGCAGGAACGGCGGCCATGATCCCCGAGCGCACCAGCCAGGGCGCTCGCCGCGCCTCTCGCTGAGATAAGGGCTGTAGATGCAAGCGTGCGAGTTCGGCGCCGGGCGCCACGGTGCAAATCGAGAGAAGCTAGAAGGCCAGCCAGTCAGGGAGCAGTCAGCTGCGGCGTCCTCCGGGCTGGTGACCTCAGGCCCAGGGACAGTTCCCGTCTGCTGCAGCAGGCGCAGGCGAGCGGACGCAACAGCTGGACACAGGTGGCTGGGACTGGGGGTGCCGGGCGCAAAGAGAATGGACAAGCGCAGCCGTCCGGGAGAGGAAAGGAGAGGGGACGAGGCAGCCGCTTGTCCTGGGCCCCATGCTGGGAGGGGTCCCGCCAGGAACGCGGGCTGTGTTTGGATGGCTGCATTACCTTGCCTTGCCCAGGCCCCTAATGACATCCCAAGCTTTTCCCTGCAGCCATTGGCACGTTTGAGAGAAAGCAAGCTGTTCTCCTGAGATGTTGCCATTTTATTTTGCCTCCATTGGGACCAACCATCTTCATGCCGGGTGGCAGCTGGCCCCGCTTCGCCGGCGAGGGTTTCAAGGCCGCTCTGGGCCTCCACCCTGTGAGCCGCGGGCCTGGAGCATTCGGTGGACCCGCTCTGCTTCTGCACCTGGGTCCCAGGCTTTCGCCTCCCTGCCCGTCTCCATCAGAGCTGCGCCCGCTCTGCCGCAGGGGGGCACCCCGCTAGCTGAGGATCGAGGCCCCGGGTGTCAGCCCTGCGCGGTGCGGGCTGGCGACGCAGGCATGTTAGCCATGCACGTGAACACGTGGCACCGCCTGGGCCATGCAGTTCTGTTGGAAGGTTCACGTTCTCCAGACTCCAACAGCGGCTGACGTGAACGCTACCCTCCCCCAGCGCCCTCTGCAGTTCGCCAGGGAGCCTGGGAACTGGGGCTTCGCTGAGGGCGAGCGGTCGGCTCCCCTCCCGGGCGCCGTGCGGGACGCCCCCTCGGTCTGCAGCCGGGCTGCCTCCGACGTGCGTGTCTCCAACAGAAACTTCCTTAACTGGGCAAAGAATGCATCTCTGTCTCTATCTCAGGACAGCGTTGCTGCGTGACGTTTTTGCTGCTGTGAATTTCACACCAGTGTTAGCACTTCCTTCTCCTACTTGTTTGACTCGGGGGGTCACGAAGGCCCTGGCTGCACCCACAGACATGCACTGGCGTGGAGATGCACGTGCACACATGTGTATACACACTCGTATGGATACACACGCACACACACACACACGCACATCCACACACACAGAAAAGATTTTTCCACTTTAATTTTTATTATCAATATAGCTGGCTTGTAGTGCAATGTTCAGGCTTATTTTTGAACTCTGTTCTGACAGCATGAGTTGCTGTTTTGCCAAGGAGTAGAAAATTCCAAGGTTTTAAAGTTCAGCGTCTTCTCTGGGGACTTGGCAGTGAAGGGGTGGGAGAGGCGGTGGCCCAGGGACTGGAGAGGGAAGCACCGGTCACTGTACCTTCAGTCTCCCGTGATGGAGGAGAGCCGGCGTCGGGGCTGGAGTGCACGGCATCCGTCCTCCCGCGGTCCGGTTGTGTCGGTGCTCACGGAGCCCGGGGCAGCCACGACGCCCGTTTGCGGAGTGGGGAGGGTGCGGGGGTCCCCGCTCCCCTCTTTCGGCCCCCGATGGCCTGCGCCCGGACCTCCAGCCCCGGTGCCGGGGGCAGAGGGACTGCGGCTCTAACGGGCGGCCCCGCCCCCCTCACCCGTAGACATCTGCAAGCTGCCCAAGGAGGAAGGCACGTGCAGGAAGTTTGTGCTCAAGTGGTACTATGACGCGGAGACCAGGAGCTGCGCCCGGTTCTGGTACGGCGGCTGCGGCGGGAACGAGAACAGGTTCGACTCCCAGCCAGACTGCGAGAAGGTCTGTGGGCCCGGTGAGTGAGACTTCTCCTGTGTCCGTGACGTTTGGAAACAAGGCCAGGGAGACCCAGGTCTGTAATGCTCCTGTTTAAGACATTTCTATTGCCGTGCTCATGGCAGGCATGAGGCAGAAAATAGATGGCATCTTCAGGCAAGGCAGATAGTCACATCAGGCCCGTGAGAGGGATTTTCTGAATGAGTATTGTTTCTTAAAAACATACTTGTGTCCTTGAGTGTTTGCCGACGACACAGGGCCGACGGCTCCTCACTATTGAGTCACGCAAATCCCTGTTATTCATACAATATTGTTAACACACAGGATGCTCAGGGAAATGCCGAGCTCTTGCAGGCCACATCAAAGACGACTAACCCCGTCCATTCATCTTTAAGTAGCTTCGCTTCTTCTGAGGGACAGTGTTGGTCTGGGGCCCCCCACTGTTGTCGGGCAGCTTGACTGGTGGCAAAGCAAACCGGCTGCCCCGGCAGCTGGGGCCCGTGCCGGGCCCGAGGCTCCATTTGCACGAGGACCCGGCGGGGGTGCAGGTGAAAGAGGCCTGGACGGCAGGAGACCCCCACCCCCAGCCTTGCTCCCCGAGGCCAAGACGCTCCGAGAGCCAGGAAGGTTCTGAGCAGGGAAGTGAGAGGCGGCCGAGGGGGCCAGAGGCCACGGGGCCATTTCACGGGGAGCACGGTGTCCCTTTCCCTCAGTAATGTGACCTCTCCTCTGCTCTCTCCGCCCGCCCGCCCGCCCCATCCCATCGATGCCCAGCGCTCGTCAAACCTGGCGTCATCGCGGCCATCGGGACCTAGCGTGGCTGGCCAGGGACGCGCGCCTCTGGAAGAAGGAGCCAGCGCCGACAAGTCGTTTTCCTAGAAGCTCTGGGCACGGGCTCCCCGGCACTGTGCCGCCCCATGCTTTGATTTACACTCGAACTTGGGAGGAACCGCCTGCCGCATGACCTATCAATATGGTGCTACGGTGTCTGTGGACCCCGCGCCCTCGTCTCCAGGCAGTTGCAGCGTGCACGGCAGACGCCGCGCAGCGCTTCCCGCCCTGGTGTCTCTGTGGACCTTTCTGCCCGTTCGGATTCCCTCCGCAGTGTCCCACCCTGCCTGTTCTGGGAGCGGAGGGTCTGGAAGGGAATCCGCCCCTCCCTGCCCTCCAGCTCTGCGCTCTCCGGGCTCTCTCCTCGGCTTGGTTCGTCCTTCCCTCCCAGGTAGCGTGGCTTTAGATGGAGACCCTGTTATGGCGCATAAACACGTGTCCAACTTTTCTGCTTTTCTCCCAGTATTCCGGGTTAGATGTCGAGAGAATGCTCTTTTTCTAAAGCCTCTAACCAACGACCTTGTTGGAAGGAAGCAAAATCTCGTAATCCCTGTGCCCCATAACGGGACCAACGTTTTAATTAAAGGATGAAAAGAAAGTCATGAGAGACTATTTCTGGCATTCCTCTAATGTGTGTGGGGTTTTTTTTTTTGCGGGGGTGGGGGGACCTAATTTTAATTTTAAAATTTTTAGGAAATTTATACAAAGAAACTTTTTAATAAAGTATATGGAAAGTGTCTTGGGTTTGGCGTTATTGGCTGTCCTGTGGTCAGAAGGCCTCCCCATCCCGGGCCGGGGGGCCTGGGCCTGGGTGCCACCCCCTTATCTCCAGCGGAGGGGGCTGCAGAGCTCCCTCAGGAGGCACCCGAGGACAGCGGCCGCAGCCCGCGCCCCAGAACAGCACGGCCACCCGGCCCACGGCCCTGGCTGAGGGCCGCAGGGGCCTCCCCGGCCGCCTCTCGCCGTCCCCTCTGGCTGCTGGCTGCGCCCGGCGCCTTGGCCTCCCTCTCTACCGCTTTCAAGGACTGGTTCCTGGGGTTTCGTTTGCGCCCCGCACTGTGGCGGAGAGGTGACGTGCGGGTGGCCCGGGGCTCCCCATCCCTTTCTGGGGCCTCAAAGACAAAGCAGAGAGTCTTTTCATTTCTCCCTTAAAGACCTCGGTCTCCTGCCTTCAGAAATAACACAAAAGGCAAACGAGCGCATCTTCCGGTGGCCCCTGAGCCCCGCCTCGGCGGGACCCTGGGTTTGCAGGACAGAGCGCACCTGCCCTGCAGGCTCCCGGAGCCCTGCCTGGGGCAGAGCTGTTGAACGTGAGGTCAGGGGTGAGTCTGAGGGTCTGTTGAGAGGGGAGCGAGGAGCGGAGAGGGTGACTCACCCCGGTCCGAGAGGGCAATGACTCACTTGTCACCCTGCTCCCACAGGGAGGGCTCGGGGCCTGGCAGAAAATCCGGGCTTCCTGCCCCGCTGGACATGGGAGAGAGTCCAGGCGCACGGCCCCGTGGGGGGCGGGGTGGGGAGTGACACCGCGTGGGGCGTCAGCAGGGGTCAGGGAGGGGTCAGGGCTCCGCGTCTGCTGCGACGCTGGGGGTCTGAGTTTGCCAGCGACGCCTGACGACAGAGAGGCCCTCGTTCGGCCTCAGGGCAGCCTCAGGGGAACCCAAGCTCTGGGGGCGCCTCGGGGGCTCGCGTGGCCGGGGCCCTGGACCACCACCGCCCTCTAGGTGATGCCGACCCCTCCGTGCCTGCCTTTGTAGCGTGAGGCCACCCTGGGGGACCCGCAGAGAGCCCAGCGAGGTCACGACTTCCCTCCAAGTGGCTTTGCAGCCTGGGTGGGACGTGTGCGTGCTGTGCCGCTCTCGGGGACGGCCCCCACAGCCTGCAGCCGCACGAGGACCGTCCCCTTCCTTGCACCCGTGCCTGTCCGCCTCCTCCCCTCAGGCTGGGTGTTCAGGCCAAGTTCATCCCAGCGGAGCTAGGACTCGCTTGTACAGGGGCCAGGAGCGTCCGGTGTGCTGGGCGGGGCAGTGGCGTAGTCAGGAAACTGCCTGTCCGCTCGGGCTCCGTGACCGACGCTCACTGACGGAGCGTCAGACAGCAGAGGTGTCTTCCTTCCCGCTCCTGGAGGCTGGAAGCCCAGAGGCAGGTGCCAGCCGGGCCCCGCTGCCCTAAGCCTTGGGAGGGGGTTCCTCCTGGCCGCTTCCCACCTCTTGGCGACTTCTCGGCTCTTGGCCACGCGACTCCAGTCTCTGCCTGTGTCTTCACGTGGCTTCGTCCTGTGTGGCCGCTCATCATCTTGTACTGGCTTGGGGGTCCGGTGATATCGGGTTGGGGCCCACCCTACTCCAGCCTGACCTACCTTAACCAAGTGCGTCTGCAGGGACCCTGTTTTCAAGCAAGGCCACATCCTGAGGTCCTGGGGGCGAGACCGTCGGCACGAGCCCTCCCCCGCATTGATCTCAGATCCCCCCCTCCCCGCCCCTCGCCCGCTGCTTGAATCCCCCGCCCACTCTCACGGCATCGGCCGTGCCCTGGACAGGGGTCCTGGAGGCAGCGGGATGGCGGGCACCTCGCTTCCTGCCCCGCTCACGTAAGACATATTCCCTCGTCCCGTTAGATCAATGGACGGTGCCCGCGGTAAAGCACGTCCGTATACGCCTGTCGTTTGGGGAGTGTGGGCCCTCGCAGCCTCCCACTCACGGCGCAGCCTGTCAGTGCGCCCGCGGCAGCCGGAGACGCACCAAGGTTTACGTTAAGGGCTTTGGACCGGTCATCGTTTCCAATGACAAGGAGCATTAGAGTCCATGAAAATGACCGACGGGAGGTGGTGCTTAAATACATTGTGCTTCACCCGTGAGAGAAAAAGGCAGGCAGCCATTTCCTACCCCCGAATGTTGGCCCCCGACCCACGGGGACGCCCGCCAAGGCCCCCGCCGGATGCCGGGAACCGCGGAGAGTGCCAAGCTCCAGGAATACTACGTTTTTCCCGCTACATACACATCTACAATAAAGTTCAATCTATAAGCTGAGCACAGTAAGAGATTGGCAACAGTAAGTGATAATAAAATAGAACGATTATAATACTACCTGGTGGAAATGTGCTGCACGTGTGGCCTTTCCCTTTTGCAGTGTCTCCGGGGCTGGGCCCGCCCCTCTCGAAGAGGCGAGGGGATACGGTGTCCCCGTGACGCGCCGCGGTGAGGCCCTCAGAACAGCCTGCAGCTTCGAACTGCAGGCTCTGTTTATTTCTGGAATGTTCCATTTCATATTTTTGGACCGCGGTCACCACTCACGGGTCACTGGAACTGCGGACGGGGACTGCAGATGGTGAGAGACCCCTGCACTCGGTCAGTGTTTATGAGAGGGTGTTAAAAAACTACAACGTTCTGTATTTATCGTGGCAATTCCACCCACGCGTGTGTGCGCACACACGCACACATGTGTTTCTCTTCTGTAAAAGCAAACAGCAAAATTCGGGCCGTGCCTATCTCTGTTGTGGGGATTTTAAATGTTCTTGAAGTGTTCCCACACTTAATTTTTTTTGAAGACAAACATGTTACCTTTATCAACCGCTGTTTGAAACTTGGCAGTATTTTCATACACGAATGGCAGTGCGGGCACATTGAAATGACGTCACAGTATGTGCTGCGTGGAGGTCCTCAGCCATCCGTTCACTCACTCACTCGTTCCTCCGTCCTCACGTGTTTGTTGTGCAGTTATCACGTGCCAGACACGGGCCCAGGCCCCGGAAATTCAGCGGTCCTGGAGCCGACCTCCGCGGGTGCGCGGGACGGCGCCAACACACCTGTGAACACTGGCGGGGGGCGGGGGCGGGGGCTGCGGAGCACGCGGCCCCGGCTGCCTTTCCCGCGCTCGCCCCGGTCGCACATGGACGTCCCCAGGGAGAGCAGGCCCGGATGCGGGAGGGCCCCGGGGCACCCGCGCCTCCTGCAGCCTCACCTGGAACCCGCCCCCAGGGCGCTGGGGCGAGCAGGCCGGGCACCGCAGGAGGGAGGTCGTTTGTCCTCAGCTCCCCCTCGGTCTCAAGGACACGCCTGTGGGGGCTTCCCTGGCAGCTACAGTGCTCTCGCGCTCTGCATGCAGAGACCTTTAAAAGTCTGCCTGTGACCCCAATATTGGCCATAAAATGGAGTGGAGCAGGAATAGATGTATCCTGAGCCCCAGATTTTCAGTTGTACCCAAAGATCCTGTTTCCACGCAGGTCTGTTTGTTCAACAGATGCAGCCAGTGATGTTAACTTGAGCGGCAGAGACTGAGCGCCTTGTATGTGCTGCCGTGGGCCTTTGGGACGAGTTAGTGAATGAATGGGGCTGGATTCCTGCCAGGGAGGGTCTTATGTTGGGACAAGGAGCAATGGTGTGTGGCTCTGGGCAGGGACAGCGGCTGTGGGCGGGGAAGGCCGGCTGACGGTGGCTTGGTCGGCGGCCACCCCGTTTCAATGGGGCGGCCTGACCCCTCTTGTTGAGAAGACGACTTTGGAAAACAGATGGAGAAGGTGCGGGGCAGCCAGGCCGACGGTGAGAAGCAGGGAGAGCCGCGGTCAGGCAGGGCCCGAGGGCAAGGAGCGCGCCCGAGGGAGGAGGGGCACGGGGTGGGGGGCCCGGGGCCGGAGGGAACGCTGGTGGCCCGGGGAGGCGGCCATTGCTGGCGGCTGGGTCAAGGGGCTGACGTGCTCCTCCGCGAGTTAGAAGGCATCCCCTGGCCGCTGCGCGGGAGCCGATGCCCGAGCAGCCAGGCGGGGCGCCGGCCATGAGGCCGCGGCAGAAGTTTGGGAGAGAGGGGACAGCGGCCGAGCCCAAGGCAACAGCAGAAAATGCGAAGTGTGGGCTCTGGGTGCGTTTTGATCCAAAGTATGCAAGAACCAATACCATTTCTGTGCCCTGCTCAGCTTTCCCCATTTATTCCCACAAAGAAATGAAAAGCGAACCCCGTTCTGCGGCCCTGACTCCGTGTTCCACCACGTGCGGTCTGCGCGGCCAGCCTCCTGCCCTGAAAGCGTGGCTTCCCGAGACCCGACCTTGCCGGTCCCGGCCAGGGACTCCGCGTCCTTCCCCAGACCTGGCACACCCCGGACCCCGAGGTCCGCCCAGTTCTTTCTGGGGAAGGCTCAGAGGGCGTCCAGCCTGGCTGGTGTGGAGAGTCGCTTGCCAGCAAAGCACACC